TGTGGGTAATTTGTGGGGACCTTTTGGGGGGATGGGTTATTAGAGACTCCCCCTAGCTTACTTTATAGACACCTAGGCAAAAACACTGCTTTAATCATTTCTGGAGCAATCTCTGTGGGAAAAAGAAGGTGTTGCTGAATGAGACAAACAGATCTATCTGAAAGGGAGTTCTGCATGTGCAGAAAATCTGCCTGGTGCTGCTTGTCAGCAGGAGCTAAGGGTCTGCTTAGCATTGCTCCGTGTCCTGTTGTACTACCCCTACTGCCCCATGTGGCATGGGAATGCCACCATTTGTCTGTCCCAGTTTGGAACTTGCAAAGCAAGGCTTTATTTAGCTTCAGCGTGGGGATTTCCTCTTAGCTTGGGAACGATTTGCAGGCAGGCTCTTGGAATAGCAGCACGGCCGGTTGGCATCGACGCTGTAGGTGATGGATGTGGCACGTGAAGCTCAGCGCTGCTCTTCCAGGCTCTCTCCCCTTTTGGTGCTAACAGGAGGCTGAATGCCAAAGTGTGGAGCAGGACGACTGCACTTGTGAGTCGTGCCGCTGAAATCAGCGTTCCTCTGCAGCAGGAACCTGCTGAAGCCTGTGCCCAGTGCCGCTGGGCTTTGAGCATTGGCAATGAACATTTTATTCTGTATTACACTTTCAAGCGCTCTGATGCAGCTGTAAGTTCTAGTAATAGATTTAAAACACCCTCAGGGCTTCTAGAAAAAATCCAGGTGTGAAATTTGAGCTAAAATGTTGACAATGGGCGCTGCTGTTCTCCATGAGAATATACTTAGCATCCCGTGTGGAGGTTTTGCATTGTCACTATTCCCTGTTTGGGACCAGTTATTGCTGGGCAGGGGAGAAAGATTGTGCAGGAATTCAGTGTGATGGCCATTTTTAGGATGCTTTTGTAGTGATCTTTTGTAGCTGGTAGTCTGCTAAACTGTTTACCTCCTGGAGACCAGTTAGATGAAAGGCCAAAGACGGTTTTAGGTCTAACAAAAGGAAATTCTTCTCAAGAAGATCTTCCTCCTCTTCTTATTGTCATCCCATTTGTCACTCATTTCTCACCCATTTTTATGGACGTAAACCTCATAATTATTGGAACAGGTGAGATCAAATTCAACCTTAGCATCTGTGATATGAAAACTTCTTTCTTCTTCAGAGTCTTCCTTCCCCAACCTCAGCTTGAAGAGCTCTCGTGAGGATAACACTATCTCATAAAACTAAAATCCATGCAATCAAATAGTGTTTTTTTGGTTAGTAATTCACGATTTTGATTGACATTCTGTCTGGGTTTTGGTGGAGGGATGGGTCTGCTCCAAGGAAATCAGTCTATACTTTTTTAATAGCTTAGCACTAAGAAATAACCTTAAAATATTAAAAAAAAACCACTAACAAACCTTGAAATATTAAAACCATAATTTAATATAGTCTGTAGCATGACTTGAGGCATCAGGGCTTTTGAAAAAGTTTATTGTTTGGTTTTGTGGTCAGAAACTCCGAAGTACTCAGCGTGTATACATGGAGCTCTTTCAAAATCTGTTCACAATTATGAGTACAAGCTCTTTTGCAATTTGAGCTGAGGTCCTTTGTTTTAGATTTAAAATGTAATTGTATTCAGGCCGAGAGGACCAGGATAGAAATCTCTTTTGCTGTTGAGTACATCCTGTGCCGGACTTTGTTGCCAGCAGCAGTGACAGGAACTCTTGTTCACCCCGTGTCTCTGTACAGGATGCACATCCTTGTGAATAAAGTTCAGGATTAGAAAAATGCCAAGTGCCATGTAATTTGGGCTATTTTGGATCAAAGTACAGATCAGGTCCAGACTGCGAGGCCTCTCAGGACTCTGCTTGTCCTGCCCACTGCCTGGAAAGGAGTGCATCGCAAGGCTGCAGTGCTCATCTCACTTGTTTTCGTGTAAGTAAAAGACAGTAATAGCAAGTTAGTGCTATAGGATTTGACTTTTTGCTGTTCCCCTGGCTGGTGCCATTTCCTCAGGCATCAAGAGTACCACGAGCATCCCCCGTCATTTGGAAGCTGCAAGCCAGGGTTATGCAATGCTTGCACACTTGCTTGTGTATGCAAAATTCATGCAACCCAGTGTAGCTTTGTTTTTCTTGCCAAATCTAAAAGGCATGCACCAGGGAAATAGGCCTGGTTTGTTTTTCTTCATACCAAGTACTTTCAAAGTGCTAAGTGATTCCAGAACCTTTAAAAAACAAAACAAACAAACAAAAACCACAGAAGTCTCAGACACTGGTCCAAAGTTTCCAAGAAGCAGCATAAAATTGTGCCAGCAGAGACACATAGAGATGTTGTAAAGCACTGGGTGGGGGGCAAGTCATTGCTTAATGAGGGTGTTCTGTAATGTGACTCTCTGGAAGGTGCTCCAGATCTCACAGTACCCTTGGCCATTTTTTTAAGAATCCATACCATTAGCTCATCTTACCACTGTCCAGCATAACCATGTTGTCTTACCATGTTTCATTATTTTGAAAAGGATGGGTCGGAGTTATCACCTGGATATGGTAAATACAGGTCAAGGGGTAGAGAACAATCAGAATTTACTTATATTGCATATTACGAGATGCTAAGTTCAATTTGCGTATTCTCTTGTGAAAGATTTCTGAATGTTATAGAAAGTTTAGAAAATGGAGTGTAAAGGAATCAACAACCCTAAACTGACTTGTTGTGTATCCCCCGAAAATGAGGCTCTTTGTGTCAAGATGGGTACCAGAATGGAAGCACCTGCTCCTTCTTTAAAATCTTTTTTTCTTATGTGATCTTTTTCTTATGTGAGAGAATGTGATGTTGGTGCTTCCCCAGTGCTGTGTGACTGAATTCAGCAGCCAGGCTGATGCACATACCCTTTATCTTGTATAAAGAGTCAGCATAGCTTTAACCACCCAGAGAATGACTGGGCTGGGATAACCAGAGTGCATCAAGAGAGACCATCTCAAAAGCTTTTGAACATAAAGCTCAAGGAAGTGATATCAGACACTAAAAGAAAATCCATCATCCAGAAGCCTGGGTGTAAGCTTTAGCATATCAGACCCACTTTACAGTAGAAAGAACACAGCCAACGCTGGCAATCACAGTGTTGGTACATTATACGTGCCCTGTTTTCTGCAAGGAACTAAACCATCAAATCAAACAAATATGCTATGTTTAGTTTATGAATGCTGATTTTGCTTTAAGATGCAATTACACACAGGTGACCTGCAGTCCTTCCTGGTTCACCTCCTCGAAACCCAGCAAAAATACATGCCTAAAGCTTGAAGGCTTGTTTAGCTCAGGAAGGAAAAGTGCATCCTTCCAGCTAGGTTTGCTAGTGAATTTTAAGTGTGCAGGGGGTGCAGGTGGGCACCATACAGGGATGTTGACAGCAAAAGGTCACTGAAGACTTTGGTTTTAAATATATATATAAAAGACATAAGTTACAAATACACATAATATGCATATAGATAGAGCTAATGTATTTGTTTGCAATATACATATAAAAGAGAGCATGATGTCATTCTCCAAGTCAGGGTGATTACTGTAAATGATGAAGAAATATCATAGATGATTTTTCAGCTAAAATAAAAAAGTTTTCCTGAGGAATTTCAGCAAGCCAAACCCATAGCAAGTGTACATTTAATGCTAGGGAAGGTGCATAGTGAAGAGACTGGGTGACTGAATGTCAGCATGAAATGGAAAACGGTGGCTGACAGTGAGTGAGGGAGATTGGGCTGTCACATCAAGGGGGAAATCAATGCATGGAAGCAAAAATGAAGTAACACTTTATCAGCTAGTTGGATACCTTATAATGATGTTCAGCCTTTGGACACAATGCCTTAGGCAGACTGCTGATGTGTGAGGAGCCCCGCGTACATCTGCCAAGTCATACATATTTTTAGGTGTTCATACGGATTTCAGTGGGTACAGAGAGAAAGAAGAGGTGGAAAAAAAAAAAAAAGATTACTGTAAAAAGTGCTAGTGCTGTGACACCGTCATCTCTGGAAAGTGATGCCCATTAGAGGGGAACAGGACCTGAAAGATACGGAGGGCTGCTTGACAGGACAACTGCTGTGGCATCTGTACTCAGTCACTACTCTTTTATAAATATAAAAAAAAGAAAATGCTGGCAAACAATAAGTGACTTAAAACAAAAATTTGAATTTTAGAGATTTTGTTCTTCTTTTTAGTTTGCTTCCCAAGGACCCAATTATCTGGAGCATGAAAGCAGATGCTTGTATACTCACCATGATCAGACAGTGTTTTGCAGGTGCTAAGCCCACTCCTCTTGGCATGATTTCTGCCTGCTGGAAAAGAGAGCGGTTTATGACCTCTCCAAAGGAGAGCTGTGCCAGCATTTTGCTTTTTTTCCTCTTTTTTTTTTTTTTTTTTCAGTTTTCTAACTCACACACACACCTGCATGAAAATTGGCTCGTGTCTTGTTAGCAGAACACAGAAGCGGTTCCTCTCTGTGCCCCAACACTGCTTCAGTCGAGTGATTGCTGTTCATTGTACAGGAGGATGGAGGAGAGGAGAAGAGTCCACGTTGAGCTCTAACGTAGATATGAGTCAGATGGCAGACAGAGGTCTGTAGTTAGGTTTGAATCAATTTCTATACAGAACGTCTTGTCCTTTCTGTTAATTTGCAGATTTTGGAGGGAGATATAAGCTCTGCAGCTTGGTGGTGTTGCTGCTGGCCGCTATGGTAGCACCCTGCACTTCCAGGTTGGGCACTAGCCTGTGCCCCAGATTTCTTCTATCTGTTAAGTAATACACATTCACTGTTGGACAGATTCACAGCAAAATCTGTAATTCTTTTCAAATTTAAACTAGGACCATGAAAAGTTCTAATCTAAAATACCTTTCTCTGCACCCCATGTGTGGATCCTAAACTGGAGCTTAGCCTACCATGTTGGCTTACTTGCTCTCCTTCTCACAAATGTCTAATTTTTTCCTAAACTTTGAAAACTGATATTGTGTCTAAATGCCACGTATCTCATGTGTGTTCAGGTTTTCTGTAGGCTAACAGGTTACTTTGGTCAGTGATGCCTGTGGGACAATGATTGAGATGCTTCTCAGATATATTTGGAAGTTCTGATGAAATGATTTAAGTGATGACATCACCCACCTGAGGTCACTGGTTTTGCTGATTCTTTCTGCTTGAAATTGGTGTCACTACAGCTAGGAAGGTAAGTGCAAACCCACTTCCTAGGCTGATGTTTTCATACTGTTTTCTTTGGATGTCAGAAATAAATGCATTTGATCATTAAGCTCTATAAAATTGAGCTATAGTTTATCGTTTGAGTCCATATTTCACTTCCAATTAGTTTCCTGGGGGTGCTTGTTTTTATTGACCTCTTATTTGCATTAAAAGCTCACGGAGTAATTTGTGTTTCTAAGAACCTCTGCTCATATGGCTTTGGCTGTGATCTTGCCAGCGCTAATGCACTAACCAGGAGCAGTGCCTCGATCAGGAGCTTCCAAGTGAAACAGAGAAACTGCCGATGGAATAATGATGTTACTTAGCAGATAATACTCATTTGCTTCAGTGCTGACTGAAGTGGAAGTTGCATTTGATATTAAAGATTACCATCCTGATGACAGATAAAATAAGGGAGGAATAGGAAGCATTGTTTCTTCCAATCTTTCCTTTTGAAGTATCTTCGTGCATAAAAATGATAATTTTGGAAAAATGTGTGTTTGAAAGCCAGAAAGTACTAGCGTAGTGCTTCTCAAACCAAAGGACTTGGTATGTTTTTACAAATATTGATGAAATGTCTCCAACACAAGAGAATGCAGTGGTTTAAAAAAAAAAAAGTCTGGGGTTGCACTGCAAAATCAGACACAGGACAAGTGGAAAAGGTTTATTATTCAGTTTATTTCCAGAACTACTTGGATTATTGACTACTGGAGTATAAACTCTCAACCAGGTGCCTACTCATCTAGTATATCCTATGCTGGGATAGTTTATTTCCTAAACTATCAGTCTTTTAATTGCAAACTCTCAGACTGTTGACTATCAGCCTGCTAACTCCCCTTGCAGTGCTGCTCTCCCCGTCCCCAGCAGACCTGCACAGGGCTGCCAGTTATTTTTTTGCTCAGACAGGGTGTTGGTTTTAACCCCAGGCTCAGGCTGGTGGCAGCATCACAAAACCCTTCAGCTAAGCAGTAACCCGCCTGGTGGTTTTGCCCGTGGAAGGACTTGAAGAAGAACCTCAGACTGCTCTGACTGCTTCATGTGCAGAGCACCCAAGTCCCCTGCAAGGAGCAGGAACTGGGTTGTCCTTTCCCAGAAGCGGAGGGAGAAGGGGGAAAGCTGCAGGGCTAGGCATAGAAGTGCCCCATTTCTGGAGTTTTTCCATTGGGCGTCTCTCCCACACGCAAAATGTTCTGACAGTGTTTGCTCTTCTGGTGGCTTTTGAGCTCCTTCTTCAGAGCCCAGCAGATCACTGGGGTCAGGGCCGCAGCCTTGGAAGAGCCGTGCTAACAGGATCCCCTGCTATCAAAGCAGCCAAGAACTGTTTCTTCCCACTTTTACTGGCCTCTCCAAGGGGGAAGGGAGCAGAAGCCTCTCCTTGACAGGTGCCCATCACCCATCTTCAGGATTTAAATGTACTGGGGAGATGTTTTCCCTTTGTCCTCATTGCCTGCCTTCTGCAGTCAACTTTGGCTCTTAGGGGCTGAATCCAGCTCTTGAAGCTCTTCTGCCTTTTCACTGAGCAGCAGGAGCGTAGGGAGACAGAGGTCCTGCATGAGGAGAAAGACGAGGCCGTTGATTAGCTGACACTCATAGAACTTGTCCTTCATTTCTGGGGGGCAGCTGGAGCTCGTGTTTGATCCTACAAGAAGTCAGCCCTGCTCTCGGACCAAGCTGCTGAGGAAGACGACATCTGCCCAGAGGATCTGTGGCTGCCCCATCCCTGTCAGAGCCCAAGGCCAGGCTGGACCAGGCTTGGGGGGTGGCATCCCTGCCCAGGGCAGGGGGTTGGATGGTCTTTAATGTCCCTTCCAACCCCAATCCCACAGTTCTGTGATTTCTCTTGCTTTTCCCTGGCAGCTCCCAGGCACTGTGGACAAGGAGGGAGGGAGGACAAAGAGCCCGAAGCAAAGGGTGATATCACCTTGTGCTCTGGTAGCAGAGTGCTTTGCTCAGGAGCTGTGCAAGAGGCTGTCCTCAGAATGCCACCCTCAGGATGGAAATGATTGTTTAAATGAGTTAGGTATCCTCCTGGATGTATTGACAGACATAGCTAGTTCAGGTTTGCATGTGAAACCTACCTGCTTTCTCTAATTTCAGGTCTCTCTAGCTCCCAATATGTTTAATATGCAGCTCCATGAAGCAAATTACTTTTGTCATGTTTAGAAATTTTAGCTCATTTCCAGAAAATACACTTCAAGAATCTGTGAATCAAAATTTCTGTGTATGTGTTCTCTGCAGGCTGATATCATCTTAATACTGCAAAGAGAAATACCTCAAAAGATGCTTGTTTTATGATACATATTCATCCCAGAACCTGGTATTATGGGATGGGACCATAACTCCCCTAAGACTTCCATGTGAATTTTGCAACCCAGATCTTGCCTGAAGATCTCAGCTGAGAGGAGAAACTTGAGAACCAGAGAAATTTAAGTCCCCTCTAATGAATGGAGTACTAGGTGGAAGGAAAGAATATTTTCAGCTGTAGTGATTTCAATGTATCATCAATCATTAACTGCATTGTTTTTGTTTGGGGCTGTTTCCACCATTAATTCTCTTCTTTGTTCCTTGACTCCCATGTTGAAGGACCAACGGTACCTTATCTCCAAGTGAATGATGAAACAGTGAAATGATTTAATTCTTGAGTAGCGCAGACTGCAAAAGGAGGCAAAGACTTGCAATGACTGTCCATCTCCACCTGCTGAACAGATGCAGCAGGCCACGGTGGGTAACCCTGTGACCTTTTCTGCTGTACGTTGTAGGCTGTAGGATGTCTGCAGAGACTGAAATGACCCGTTCAGTCCAAAAGGTGATCCTCCCTGTCCATGCTATGCACCGGGGCTGTCCCTCATCTACGGAGCATCAAGTCCATCAGTGGCCCCACTTTGCTTAACCCAGCATCAGAGCAGTCCTCAGGAGGATTTCTGACTGGTGGTAGGGTTGTAGGATGATGTCTCCAGTTTGGTGAGCTAAGCCTTGGTGAGAGTTGCTGCAAAACTTCCCCGTTTGAGCAGTCTGATAGTGTCAGAACAGCAGCCGACACAGGTGGGAGCTGAAGAAGCCACTGGAGTTAGGGATCAGCTAACTGTCAGTTAGTTTGGTTCAGTTAGGGTTGTTCTGCAAAAGGATTTGGTTGTTTTATTGACTGTTAGTGTGGTTGGGGAAAAGTGTCATGCCTATCAGCTCTAAAAGAGGTGTAGGAAAAAGCACAGAAGAGAAACTTTCTTTCTGAGAAAAGATCAAAAATGCATTTTTCTTACAAACCTCCTCTCTTTTTAATCTTGCTTTATTATTTTATGTGACTTCATGGCCTGTTAAGACCAGAAAAATGGGCTGTTACATGTCAAATCACGCCAGCGTTTCCAATTGTTTCATATGGTATAATCCCAGTAGAATATTTCTTTTTTATTTACTCACGTACTGTAGGCAGATGAATGTTACATTTTATTTTCAGGTCAGAACAACTCCTGTTAAGCATTACCAAGAAATATTCTTACACTTGGATGTGGTGAGTAGAAATACTGTTACTGGTTTGTCATGGGATTGAGTCAAATAGGAAATATAAATAAGTAAATAGAAAACAGTGTTTCAGGTTACCTCAGTATTATTTGGGAAGAAAGATTTTTTTTACTTTCATTATTATTATAATTATTGATGTTTTTAATTTCAGTATCTTCTCCTTTACAGGGAATTTTGGAAAGGAACTTGTGTTGTGCACTTTTGACTGAAATCAAATCTTGAAATAGTGATGCGTCAGGAGAAGCAGAAACCTTATGCCCTGAGTGCGACTGTAAAACTTTCTGCTGCAGCTTCTAATCAGGTGAGAACTCAAACTAAAATTGATGGAAATCCTGCCTGTGGAGTTTTAGCCTTGAGAAGTGAGATGTGAACAACAACAACAAAAAAGATGAATCAATGCCAAAAAAAAACACACAAGATGATCCAAAGAACTGTTTCTAAAGAAAAACTGTACTAAAATATTAATGATGGAGTACAACAGATGGCTCAAAAGGTGTACTACAACACTGCATGCAAGAAGAACTTAGCATAACTTTACAAACAAATAAAAAAAGAATCTGAATGTTGAAGTTCTGGTAAGTTTAAGAGCATGAAGAAGCAGAAACACCAGGGCAATTAAGAATCCAGCCTGGTGGGATCTTGTTCTGAGGGTAAGTTGCTGAGTTTCAGAGAACTGGAAGTACCGTTGCCCCTCTGGTGGTGACCCTGATACAAGAAGGGTCACTACCAGTTAATGCTGCTTTTCACTGACTCTGTTCTATTGTCCAGTCCATGCAATATTGAAAATACGATGAGCGAGAGCACTTAACTGAGCAAACACCTTCCTAGGAAGACTAGATGTGACCCTTGGCCTTGGTTGCGTAGTCAGTGGTTGCCTAAACCCCGCTGGTCTTGTTCTGTGGCCACTTGGAGCTGTGCAGGAGAAAAGTGTGTGCTGCCTACTGTCTGCTGCATTTAACTATTTCTTTTGCATCCCCCTTCCCCGTCATCCAGCTGGGGTTGTAGACCTATGTAGCAATCCACACAAAGGTGTATGTTACTCTGTTGGTGTTAGGACATGCCCTTGGGTGTTTCTGTGCTCAGTCCCCACTTGCCCACAATATCAGGAATTGTCCCAGGTTTTGCAGCTCCAGTCCAACAGCGTTTTTGTCTGCGGCTTGGAGTCTGCACCATGAAGTGTACAGCATTAGCGTCTGCTCCGTGTTACTTTGTATGTGCTGTCCTTAGGTGGCAGTCTTAGTTGCAGTCTGTCTCAGCAGAAGCTTGATTTTCTGGTGTCTTTTCAGGAAAAAGGGTGAAAGTGTTTTGGAAAGTGATGCTCACAGAGCTGTATTCCAGTATAAATTACAATCAGCAATAATTATATGCTTAAGAAATTTCTAAACATCATATCCTGCAACCTGCTCTTCTCTGCTCCAAAAAAAGAAACAACACAAAATCTATTCCCCTGATCAAGGTCTTTGTTTCTTTTGAATCTTCTGAAGAAAGTTGTAAGAGTCCCAGGAGTGTTTGAAATTAGCCACCATACAGAGATGAGCTGCATTTCCAAACACTCTTTTCAACTACTGTAGCAAAAAAAAAAGTTAAAACAACTTTCCCCATTCTGGGACAGAAATGCTCTTCTGCAGTAGTTAATTCAATCAATTGTCAACAGACAAATGACCTCATAAATCAGCACAACCTGTGGAGGTTCCAGCGTGGAAATTGCAAGAAGATGTATCAGTGGCAAAAGTTGTTTTACCGTGAGATTCAACATTGCCTCTGGCTGCCTGGGAGGAGTTGATGTGTGGACTTAAACCTTCTGCTCGTTCTCCCCATGACTCACATGTTTCTCTCTTAAATGTGGGGCTGGCCCCAAAACTACCACACCGTGGGATGATTTGGGATGAAAGAAGTGCACTGAACTCTGTTTCAAAGCAGCTACAGGAAATTGGTCAATGCAGTCTGTATGCTAAGTGGTTATTTGTGTAATTTAAGTGCTAATTAAGAAAATCATAAGTAAAGGTAAGTTCTTAATGCATGAGGAGGATAAAGCAAGAGGCAAAATGTGCATCTGCAAAAGCTATTCCACTCGTGTGTATAAATCAGGAGACTATGTGCTCAAGTAGAGAATTAGGCTGAGTTGCCTGCTGTTACACATTTAAATTAAGCAGGAGCCTAATAGCTTTTTAAAAATCTGGCCGTAAGTGTTTTTTCTCAGGGAAGAGATCATCTAATCAAAATAGTGCTTTAGAAGAAAGAACGCTAATACTGAACATGAGCAAGGAGCTCTAACTACTGACAAGAACTCCACTGCTAGGATAAGATTTGTTACAGTTGGTAAAAGGCTAAAGTGGCTCTTTGCAGCCAAGCTGCTGGTGGAGATGGGAGCAGGGGAAATGAAACGATGCCACAACACTAACAAAATGAATGGCATCTCTGTGCTTGGGGTGGGCGCTGATGGAAGGGCTGGTTTATGTTTACTCACTTTCTTTGCTTTAGATGCTGCTGCTGCTGAGCTGTGCTGGGGTTTTTAAAGCAGTAAGCCCCTGGATGTCAGCTCAGCAGTATTCAGTCACAAGATTTCTTCCTGTTAAGGTTTCATTTCCACGTGAGATACAGGATTCTACAGAGCTCCTCTACTTTGATCTTTTGAACTGAGCTCCAAAACAGGCGGGAGAAATTTCCTAGAAAGTTTTGACCTAATTCCTTGTCGGCGTGAAAAGATGCAGTGGTGTTCAAGTCAGCTGCTGCGAGGCGGTGTCAGGAAAGCAGCCTTCCCCCGAGCCGAGGAGCCGAGGCCATGCTCAAAGCGCCACGCTACGGCTCAGGAGGCTCGGCTCGATCAGCTCCCTGCAGCTCCAGCAGTTTGTTTCTCTACCTGCAACAGATGATTTTGCCTCTTTATCAAAACGTCTCTATCTAAATAGAGCATGTCTGTGCGAGCTCAACACAATAGCATGTGTGCAAAGTATTTGTGGTACAAAGCATCCGTGTCTTTCACCTACCATTGTCCTTAGCGAATACCTGGAACCTGGAGTGAAATGCAAGCACTTTTCCTGCAGGGATCAGTTGCTGAGAGGGATTTGAAAAGCGCATTCAGTCTAATTGCATTGCTGCCTTTCAGAGCTTTACAGAATAGCGAAATTCACTTTGGGTATCAGGAGGCGAGCTGAGGGTTTTAGATCTGCTGTTAGAAGACAACCTGAAGGTGCCTGCGCTGTCTCTGGGAAGGACTTCACCTGACTCTTTTGGGGCTTGGTGTTTATGGTCTGCTGCAGCTGGAAATCCCTGGGCAGATGGAGAGGCAAAGGATAAAGGGAGTCCTGCAGCAAAAGCCCCTTCTTCTTCCCCTTTGGTATGTGATCAGGAGGATCAGGAAGCTAACGGGGCCAGCTTTCATTCCTGTCCTGCTCCTCTGACTCTTCTGCTGCTGACTGGGAGCACTGGGCCGTGCTGGAAAGCAGGGGGCTGCACTAGGCAGTGGGTCAGAGACAGGCCTGGGAGGCAGAACGTGTTCAGGAGGATGGACGGAGCCTCCCAGCAGAGAGACAGTTGTGTCCAAACCTGGCAGGAGGTTCTGACTTGGTTCTGGCAGCACACTGTGTACATTTTTGTTTTGTTTTGTTTTGTTTTTACTTCTTGCTTTCTTTTTGTAAAATGCAGTAATCCATTGAAGTTAAAAACTTCCCACGTAAATGTCTACATCTGCTTTATTGGAGATGGGATTTCAACTGGCTGAGAGCTCACTGGGGATAGGCAAGAGAGATTTAATCTGTTTGAATTATTACTGGGCAGCTCTTTCAGGAAGAACCTGGATGTGCTATTTGTTCTTATTCTTCAAGGACTTAAACAAACCTCATTTCTTTGGAATCTAAGTACCCAGTGTAGGGGGCAGACAGGGACCAGTGGGTTTAGGTCCTTCAGAAAGAAGGCACAGAGCTATTTAGGACCCTCAAGTTTCCTCTTCATTAAGAAACTATTTCATGTTTACAGCAACAGCTTTACCATTGCTCTCTACTCGTCCTTTCCTCAGCCTACAGGATGCTACAAAGAGATGTGTTTGTTTGGGATGGACAATGAGGAAACAGAGTAAGGAACCAAAGACCTTTTCTAACAGTTCAGATTGTAATGAGAACATTGTTAGGGGTGAGATGTGCAAAGCCCCACTTACTGGAAGAAGATGACCAACAGATCTTTATAGAGCTGAGAAACGTTTGGCTTTTATATTTGAGTCCAGAGAAGTTTCTGATCATTTCTGTTTGCAACATCTGCTCCAGCTTGTTGCTGTAGGAACTGCTGAAAGGTCAGCACAGCACCGGGCTGCGGGAATGGTGGGGCTCGTGAGTCCTCAGACAAGGAGGTGCCTAAATCCGCATCATTAGGTTGCAACAAGAGGATGCTTTCCTGACATTACTGATTCCTGAGCATCTTTTGGGGGTGTTCAGTATGTGAACTGTAGTGGCTTTTAATATCCTAAGCAGTATTTAGCATCTAAAGATAGAAGAATTTTACAGCTTGGCTCCGTGCGCTTTTCCCCCACTGCTCTGTGCTGGCAGCAGCAGCACCACCACGAGCTCCAGTCCTGTCTGCAGCCTTTGCCTCGCTGAATGTCACAGGGAAAACTTTTATTCCAGCTCCTGGCACAGTGCTGTGTGTGCCGGGAGCCTTGGGACAGGTAAGGGGAGCCCTCTGCACCCTGCTGCGGCAGCACGCACCTGCATGGGTGCTGCTGCTCCTTGTTCAGTCCTTCGGTGTTAACAGCTTATCCTTCGTATGATGAGTTCGAAGCCTGCTAATCTTGCATCAGTTGTAGTCTTGTCTAAATTCTGATTTTTTACAACCATCACACTAGAAATAAAAGGATTAATCAAACGCCAGAAGATTACTAGAGCTTACCACCAGTCAAAGTTTGACTGGCAAAACGTGTTAATCACTGCTCGCTTAACCAGGGCACGGAACTGCGCTCTGCCCTTCTCCCCCTGCTCTTCTCACTGGCATCCCGTGTAATGTGGAGCTCTGGTTTTGGCAGATGCAGAAGAAATTACATTGCTTTTTGTCTTTTCACAGGTGCGTCTCTGTTGGGGTTCTAGATATTCCTTAGAGATCCTCCCCAAGCTTACATACCAAAAAGGCAAGACCTGAACAGCGAAGTTTATCTGTAGAAATTTGATTGCAGAGAATTACAGAATTATTTGTAAGGCTTATTGAGTGCTGCAGAGAAGTAGTAAACAAGTCAAAGCAGAAGGATAAGCTGCACTATTTAACAACCCATTTATTGTATTTGACTAATTAGAACATGAAGCCATTTCAGCAGTAAGCTGAAGTTGCTTCGTGTAGCATAAATGCATTTACTTCAGCAGAACATAATAAAAATCCTAGACCTTTAATGCCACTTTGAGGGTGTGAATTAAACAAAAACAAACACAAAACCTCGTTTAGAAGAACCAGTTTCCAAACACTTGAGCTTTTCATCTGCACTCTGTGAATTAGTCTTGCTGAAATAGCTGCTGTGGACAGGATTGCTGCAACACTTCCCTAGTATTAAGCAGGTCTTGGAGGAAATCCTGTTACATCCTTCTGACAGTCTATGTATTTTCTTCTCTGGTGATGCTTTGTTGTTTGTTTGTTTAGTTTTGTTTTCCTTTCACAACCTAAATGTGTACCTTCAGCACCAAGAGCAGTCCCTGCGCTTTTTCTTTTCCTGTTTCTTGAATACCCCCTACTCAAATGCACAATTTGCAGGGTATAAATGGATATATATATATATATATATATATAAGATATCGTTTCCATCAAAGTAGCTATTGACACCCTTTATACCGGTTTCTGTCATCTTTGTCTGATTTGAAATTTACAGAATGGCTGTCCTTCCTGCAGCACTCTCATTGATTTGTTTTAGAAAGAGAAATGTTTCCTTCACACAGCTGGCGCACAGCTCAGGTAGGTTCACCTCCTTAATTTTCTTTTTAACTTTTTGAGTGAATTTACAGTGGGAGATGTTCCCTTCCTTGCGTGGTCCCTTAAAACTATTGATATTTAACTTCTGGGGACCAGAGCAGAGCATATGATCACCTGCCTGCATCTCATGTGCATGGGTTTGTACTGCATTATGTGGATTTGTGAAAATCCTCCTTTTGTGATGGCACTGTCTTAACACCTCTGGTCCTGGGCCAGGACTATATTCTAGACACAGTGGTACTGCCAAAAACTCAGAAAATGCTTTGAATAGAAAATGCATTCTCTTAAATAGAAATGCATTTTTTCATGCTGCTTGTGTCTGCTGCAAGGTTGGCATGGCTGTAAATGTATAAATCACGGCCTCATATATGTTAAAGGAAGACTGTGAAGAAAGCCTAAGCTCATCTAGACTTTCTCCTCATGGTAAAGAGTCTGTAGGATGAGAAAAGTACTCGTCAGCTTTCAGGAAACAATAAAATAACACAAATAAAATATAGGAGCCAACTGATTTAATGTGTCACCATTTGCAGTCTATACATATCACCATTGCAAACCCCAAAGATCTTGGTTTATTTGTGACTAGGAAATGGAGACCAAAAGCAGCCTCATATATAAATACAATGGATTTCACAGCATCACAATTTACTGTCTCTCCTTCAGCCATGCAGGCTATACCACTGAAACAATACTGCAGCCATAATAGGAAAACTGTCCTTCCCGGGATTTATGAATTTATAAAGGATATAGTCAGTTCTGTTGTGTGATTCAGCACTAAATTACTACTTACAGATGTCAGAGCGTGCACCAGGTGGGAAAGCTCTCAAGGAAGGACGCGGTGCGTTTTCCAACGCAGCCATTCGGCACCAAATGGTAATAAAGGAGGCGAGGGCTGAGCACCCGACCTGCCCCAGACCCAGCCAAAGTGCTTAGTGAAGTATGCCGGTAGCCAGCACTAGGAAGACAGAGCTTCAGAGCAAGTATTTGGATTTTATTTTATTTTTTAATTAGGAAATATATTTTGTAAGGCTCACATGTAACTCTGCTTCATCCTGTCCTCACCCCTTGGCTTACTTTCTGCCCAGGAGTGGGTTAGGACAGGTCCCAGTTAGGTGCACATCCTGGCTTCTATTTTCCTGCAAATTCAAGTTCCCACTCCTTTGTATCTGCATTATGTAACATGCGGCATCTGACAATGTGCTGCAGCATCTATAAAAGGGTTTTTCCCATTTCCTAATTGAAGATTAGGTACATCCAATTTGAAAGGAGGGGAGAAGAAGCAGAGGTTTCTGTCCCCTGTCTGATTGTCGCAGGGAGGGTTCCTCTTTCATCCTCGCCGAGGATGTGCGTGTTGTGAGACACGTTTCCGAACAGCAGGCGCGGTGCTGTGTATCGAGGCTCAGACTTCAAATGGGGCATAATCAGGCATTTCAGGCCCCTGCGAACACTCCTGAAGAGTTGGCCTGATTTTCAAAAGCACCAAGCAATTGACATCTCCTATTGATTTCACTGGGAACCAGTCAGCCCTCAACGCATCAGAAAAATCAGGCTGGTTACTTAGAAACCTGCAGATGGTTTTTAAATCTACATTCTGGGGCTGTTTTAGTTTCAGTGCTGGAACTAGAGTGTGTTTTCCTCTGCTGCATATGCTCCTCATATGCTAAGCAGCGCTCCTGCTTACTCTACAAACAGTGGCCTTTCTGCTGCACTTGGCCTTGGAAATCCTGTACGTAACACATTTGTGCTCTCTAGATCTGCTTTGGGGAAGAGGAGTTTGGTGGTGGTAGTCAAAAAGCCATTCTCTGTCTCCTGTGTTTCTCGGAAATTCACCAATTACTTTTGCTGAGCTGCAAGTACTTTTTTTGGTCTGTGCTGATGGATTCCCTCTGCCATTGGCATGATTTATAGTCACTCGTGTCTACAGGTAACAATTCCCTTTCCCCTCAGGGTTGTGTATTGTCCATCATCCACCTGTCAGCCAAATGTCTGCTTTCCCCTTTCATCCCAGCCAAATAACCTGGGTGTTTGTTAGCCACAGCAGCCGTCTGCTCTGCTGCTGTGGGGATGCTGATGGGATGTAGTTAGTGGGTGAGGTTCAGGAACCTTGACCTGGGCCTTATCTCAGAGCTGGGTCACTTTGTTGGCATCCCTTGTCTCATCGTGGGGTGCATCAGTGCTGCCCATGGGATGCTGAGTTTGACTGGAAAGATAAAAGGGATACATGAACCGCCGAGCACAAGATGGGGAAATGCTGTAGCTCACATTGACAAACTAAATACAGACCAATGAAGTGGTGCAACGTGGCACGTGTTATTGTGCGCTGTTGGATATGTCCTGTGCACGTGGCAAACTGCTGTTATTCTGCTTTAGTTGGAAGTGGTGAGGTCTGTGCCTGCTGTTGCCTCCAGTTCTGGGCAGTGTGGTATGAGAATGATACAGATGAGTCTGCAGTATGCTGAAAGGCAGCAGGAAGAATGAGAAGTCAGAGAAAAATGACCTGTGAGCAGCGTTTTGTCATGGAAAAGAAAAGCCTGAGCTGTGACAGTAGCCGTGTCACAGGTGAAGGGCCCATTTCCCTGGTGTCCCCTGGCTGTCTCCAGAAGAACAAGACAAAAGGATGTACATTCTGCAGCAAGGAAAACACAAGGTGAGTATTGGCTGCTGGGGGTTGCAGCGTGCCGCATAGGCAGTTGCAAAGGCTTGGAGAATCAGTTAGACAAACAGCTTTTGGCACCACACAGCTTTGGGAAGAAGGTCGCTGGAGAAGGAGAGGCAAAAAGGGACGCCCTTCCCCTGGCCGACGGGACTGAAGCTGTCGATGGCTGTCACAGCCGGGTGCTGATTTCCTTCTGCCCAGTGGCTGGGAACATCCCGCTCTTCTGACTTAGATGTATAAAATAATTTGTGGGCTGGAAGAAGGCAGGAACATCCAAGGTGCTTGTTGTGGCCCTGCATGGAGGGGGCTCGTGGCTGCTCTCACAAGGTCCCGATTGCTCCAGGGCAGCTGCTCACAGGACTCTGCAGAGCGCTGGGCAAAGGTTTGGTGTAGCCATCAGAAGACTCATTTTGTGAAAGATGCGATTGATACTGTTCAGACACAGGAGGCATGGAAAGAATTAGAAACCGATTCTTCTGAAAGAAGCAAGACAATGGGATATATTACAGCATCAAAATGTTCTTGGCAGGTGGAATGTGTATATCAAGTACTGAAAAAACTGTTTGGTAAGTGATACATTTCATATTAAAATATATAAATCATCCACTTGGAGAAGAATTGGACTCTCTGGGCAAGTACCTTAGCTACTACATCTGACATACTGCCTGTTAAAACAGATATATTAATTTCAAAACCTGATAATCAGTGCCTATTTTTTTATTTGTTCCAGGATAAAACTGAGAATGAGATGCATCATTCATAGCATCTGACAGTCGTCTGTCTGTTACTGGCCTGACTGTGTTATTTCAGTGTTGCAGTGCAGTGAGTAGTCCCTAGTTTATCAGTGTATCTATTGATTAATATATGCTCCCATTACAGTAAATATATATAGTAATAAATTAGATAATGTAACCATGATAAACTTGCTATATCTAGTGTGTAACCTACTAAATCAAAATTAACAATTACTAATTGAAATTATATCCCCTAGTACAGCATTATATAAATCAAAGGCATTTTCTCTCACGTCCATGCATCATTCAGAAGATTAATCCTCCAGCGACTGTAAATGTTTTTCTACTGCGTTCATTTGGCTAAGCTGGATAATGGTAATAGCCTTGGGGTTAAATACACAATGCAGTGTGTTAGAGCTGATGTACTGGTTATTGCCCCGTACGTCCTAAGCGCTTATCAAACTGCAGTGGTGAGGCACTGGGCCATGGGGATGGCAAGTGCTCCACACCCAAGGCTCATGGGCTGGGATTCCTTGGTTCTTGGGTTTTCATGGAGGTTGTGTCTACCCAGATGTCTTTTACCTTGTGTGCTAGGACACAAAGGACTGAGACCCAAAAAAACACCATGGTAATTTGAAAGAAACGTTGGTGACCTGTTTGCTCCCAAACCCACCAGTGCTCTCCTTTACTTCCCACTTGAAAGACTCAAGAGGAACATCATGAAACCCCTTTTATTTTCACTCTCCAACGTTCCTGACATATGGAAACATCAATGGGAGTTGCCCCCAGGAGAGGGCTGAACAGCACAGCCCCAAACAGTGCTGCATCAGCGCAGTGGCCTTGGGTCATGGACAACATCTGGCTCGTGTGAGCGAACCCTGCCAGGGGGGCTGATGGAGAGCATCTTGAGAGAAATGCTTTTTATGAATGACTTTAGAGTGAGTTTCTGTAGGGGTCATCAGTAAGGGTCTCTGAGGAGCACTATTTTGCAGCGTGCACAATGGGGAGAAATTCTGATTCCTCAGGAGCCAGGAAAGGGTGAGCAGAAGCCAGTGAGACAGCTCGAGCTACCTTCACTTGCAGCAGCTTCACAAAATGTCCTAACCGTACACAGAAAACCAATCAGAGGTTATGCAAAGCTCTCGTGATTACTTTGCATTTTCAAAGAAGACTGGGCATTGGTCCAAACCCATAATCTGTGCAAGGGCATGTCACAACAAATCGGAGAGGGATAATTAGAATTTTATGAAGAGTGGCTCTCTATAATGCTACCTACTGTTTACTTACCAACAATTTTGAATTTAGCACCTGATTCATTTTATATAACATGAACTAAAAAAAACATTTTCTAACAAGCTTATATTTGCTGTTAGTTACGTGTGTGTTTGTTTGTTTTAAATAACCTTGTTTCCCCAGTGGGACCAATGTACGTGCACGTGTGTCTGTCTGCTCAGAAAATGGTATTGTAATATATGAAAGCACAGGAATATGGCTTTAGCAGATAATAACTCTTGATTTTGTTGTTCCAAGTGTTTTTTTTCTAGAAGTCAATGAAAGTCCAGTTCACTTGAAACAATAGTGCTTTGAGAGCCATTCCCATGCTTTCCAGAAGTGTGTGAGGAGATAGGTGTAAGAGGGAAGTCTAAAAGCAAGGTGAGGTGTGACATTTTCTTCATTGTCTTTTACTGAAGTTCTGTAACTTTGTTAGCTAGAGTGGCAGTTGTGTTTTACCCCAAACAGGACTCAATTTCATTGATATCTAGCATCTGTGTGTTGTGTCCAGCTGTGTATAGTCATTCAACATCTCTTTTAGAAAAATAGTGCTTTCGCAAGATACTACTTCTTTACATTATTGACCTGTTACAACTACTTTGGCTGTATGGATATTCTTATCCATGGGCTAATCTGGGAGTATTAATCTACCCACTGCCCACACAAAGATTTATTTTGAAAGTCAGCACACAGAATGTAGCTCAGCATTAAGTATTTTTATCATCTTAATAAACGCCCTGAAATCAGCAAAAGCAATACATACAAGCAAATAGTCATCTGTTACTCTTCTTTGAGACATTAAAAAGATAGAAATGTGAGATTTTTCAATATCTTTATTGTTGAATTACTTTTAACCCAATTCACATAATTTGAGCATCTTCTTTTTCTGCACAAATAGTCATAAACAACCATATGGCTAATTGCTTACCCGAAGTGTAGTCCTTTTTGAACAAGTGCAGCACTGGCTGTATCCCTACTGGCAAGCAGTGTGATGCTGTGGGTGTGGAGGTAAGTCCACATCTGTACCATGCACGTTCCCGTGGGATGGTTCCCCATGAGCCACATGAGGTCCCAGGGGCTGGCAGATGAGGTGCATGGCTGAGGGTTTAACCCCAAGGGGTGCAGCCCTCATCTCGTGCTCCGCAGTGCAAACTGAAGCGTGGTGAGCGGAGGGCAATGGGGAGGTTTGCTCCCTCCTGACAGCAACCAAAATGCTGACATAGGTGCACACGCTGCATACCACTTTCTTATGGCCCTATTCTTAACATCTTGAAAAAAGGATATCAAAGAAACATCCCTTTGTATCGCTTCTTGCTCCTTGTGATCACTGGTGAGGTTTGAAGTGCTTGGGGAGACACGAGGCATGGACAGGTCAGCCTATGCTGCACCCTGCAGAGAAGTTTCCTCCCTCCACCTGCCTTAGCACAGTGGGACCTGGGCACTGCTCTCTGCTTCTTTGCAGGGCTGTGTTTGAGGGGGAAGAAGGACTGAAAATTCTTGGGTATGTTATCCCTAAGTGCATCCTGCCATTGGACTGACGGGTATAGGAGACAACTCAGACTCACTTCTGTCTTGATTTGGCTTCAGGCATTTAAATCCAAGTCTCCCACCTATGAGGACACTGCTCTGAAAAATCTTGGCCCTGCTCTCAGAAGGACTTTTGCTGTGCTTTCACCAGCGATGGTAGCATCATGCTGTGCCGTGGCATACCCACGGTGATCAGCTGCACATGCATGCATCCCTGAGCACCAGCACAGCAAGGGAACTAAGCTCGGGCAGTGTAAGGCTTATGGGTCGGGATTGGAAATCCCATTAGACACCAGCAAGGTCCAGTCTGTATGGGTAAAATGGTAAGCTACAAGGTGCTGCAACATTGGGAAGATTTTGTGGTAGTAATGATTAATATTAATAAGAATAATAGGTATTCATGATGTGAACAGGGTGAATAGCGGAATGGATTCAGGTCTTTTTATTTTCTTCGCAGTTTGTTATTATCTAGAGAAAAAAATAAAAACACAACACTAATTACCAGAAGCTAATAGCTAGTGTGTTACTTACCCTCTTAATTAGTACCCTAATTATTAAGTGCAGTGATAACCACTAGTTAGAATGTATTTGCCTTTTAAGACTTCCTTGTTTATCTGTCTTCCTGCTCTGTCTTTTTAATAACACTGACACCAGCAGAGTAGCTGCAGAGAGAATACCAATAATTTCCCCTCGGGAAATGAGTCATTTTGAGTCTCCTGAATGCTGTTATGATTTTCATTCTTTTGTAAAATGCTTTTCACCTTTGAACTGTTGTCTTGCGTTAGGTTCTTACATGAAAGCACTAACACTTGAAATTGTGAGGATGAACCCAGAGGAGCAGGGAAGGCCATCTCAGTGGCACAAAATCTTGCTCAAAGTCTTCCATGAGGGAGACTGGAAGGCTTCTGAACAATGTGGAAGCCCATCTCCAAATCCTGCCTGTCTCTTCGGCTGCCCATCTCAAAATCCTGAAGTGGTGAGTGAAATATTCCCCATCATGTCTGTCTAAAGTCACAAGGTCATCTTGGGATGTGTTTCTCCAGGTCCCACTGGTAACCTTTTGCTCTCCACCCTGTGGCATCCAGGTGCTGGGGTCTGCAGTCCCGTGTCTTCGCTGCGTCCCAAGGCACGGAGCCCATTCCGAGAGGGGTGGCTGTGCAGAGTTCATCCAAGCTCGAGTGAAATGACCAGCAACTACTTGTGGATTCTTCATAAAATAGCCATTTGAATGGAAAATTACACCTAAATACCTGCCAAAAATCCTGTATTGAGGTGATTGGTATTTATGGGCCCCTGCCAGAAGCTGTTATAATACAACTTTTTTATGGAGTCTTATTAACTCTTCCCAGGGAGCGATACATTCTGAGCAACTGAAGCCAGTGAGTTACAATTTGTCACAGAGGGGAAGAAAGATCGCTTGGCTCCAGAGCACAGTGTACAGACATGCTCAGTTTGGATGTGCTGTAGCAAACCAGAGAAAGTACTTTGCTAGTTGTAAAATCTAATGGCAGGAGGAAGACATCCCTGCTCTCTGCCCTTGATTCTTGGCAGTGTGGATTACAAAATGCTTCTGCTTAAAGGATGCGGATTAGAAAAGATGTTAACTACATGTACAGTTGCTGTTTCTATAGCCTCATTAGTATGCACGATGTTTCTTACTGATTTGACATTGTCTCTGCCCTAAGGAGCTTGAAATTTAAAGGCAAAACCCTGTGACCATGTGAAATCTGAACATTGCAAGCAAGGCTCTCAAGAAAGGATTTGCGAGACTGTGAACAAATACATTTTATTCAACATGTCAAAGCAGGGAGCAGGCAGGGAGGCAGAGGTGTAAACAACTGGAGCGGAGGAGAAAAATAATGAGAGAACCCTAATTGTTGTCAGCTTGATTCCAGCCTTGCTCACCCAGACAGACGTTGCTGCATCTTTGTCAGTGGAGGTGTTTCTGGTTTGCAGCAATCCAAGTGAGAACATCTTCCATGCTTTTATCCAAGTCATCTGCTGCTGCAGTGTTTTGAGACCCATTTTTTTGTTGTTGTTGGTTTGTTTTTTTTTTCCTCGCTCAGTATTTCTGGGCACACAGAGTCCCTGAAGGAGCAGGAGGCAGGATGGGCAGGCACCCAGCGGTGCTTCTCTGTGCAGGGGCCCAGGCCGAGGAGTGGCAGGGGTTGTCTGTGCTCCCACAAGTGGCAGCTTCTTCCCACACCCGAAGCTAGTCCCGTTTTTACAGGGGTGACCTTCCACATTTGAGCCTCATGAGGTTCAGCAAGGCCAAAGGCAAGGTTCTGCACCACAGCCAGGGCAATCCCAAGCACAACCACAGGCTGGGCAGAGAAAGGATGAGAGCAGCCCTGAGGAGAAGGCCCTGGGGGTGCAGGTTGATGAGAAGCTCACCATGAGCCAGCAATGTGTGCTTGCAGCCCTGAAAGCCAGCCTTATCCTGGGCTGCACCAAAAGCAGCGTGGGCAGCAGGGCGAGGGAGGGGACTGTGTCCCTCTGCTCTGCTCTCACGAGACCCCACCTGGAGCCTGCGCTCAGCTCTGGGCCCCCAGCACAAGAAGGACAGGGATGTACGAGAGTGAGTCCAGAGGCCACAAATGCAGAAGGGTCTGGAGCACCTCTGCTATGGAGACAGGCTGAAGGAGCTGGGGCTGTTCAACCCAGAGAAGGCACTGAGGAGACCTCACAGCAACCTTCCAGTGCCTGAAGGGGGCTGCAGGAAAGTCAGGCAGGGACTCTGTGTTAGGGTTGTAGTGATAGGACAAGGGTAATGGCTTAAACTAAAAGAGGAGAGATTTAGATTGGTTGTAAGGAAGAAATTCTTCACTCAGAGGGCAGTGAGGCCCTGGCCCAGGCTCCCCAGAGGAGCTGTGGCTGCCCCATCCCTGGCAGTGCCCAAGGCCAGGCTGGATGGGGCTGGGGGCAGGGGATCCTGCCCATGGCAGGGGTTGGGGCTGGGTGGATTCTGTGATCCCTTCCAGCACAAACCATTCTGTGATATTCTCAGTCATGCCTTTCTGGTCATAGTCCTTTCTTGGACTATGCCATCTGAAATCATGCAGTTGTGGCCCCAGTGTGGCCAAATTACAAGAAGCTGCTACCTGCAGTGCCCGTCTCTCCTCTGGTCCCTGTAGTGCTCCAAGCTGCTTTCCTTTCCTCCTCCTTACATCTGTGCCTTTCCCTAGGGGGAAGTGCAAGCCCCCAGTACTCCCACCCCACCATAGCCTTGGTGACCCACCGGTGCCCGTTTGGGGACGCACGCTGCTCCCCTCCTGTGGCACGAGCTGCGGAGGCCCCGTGAGCAGTTTGCAGGGCACTAAGAGCCAGCGCAGTTTTCTTTGCATGCACGAGCTGGAATTGCAAAACAGCATTTTGCAGATCAAGATGTTGCCAGTCTCTGGGAATGTGCATGAAGAAAAAAAAAAGAGTGAGTTTGGCTCAATTGCTTTGAGCCTGCCAGCCTGGGCAGCAGCCGTAATGGAGATGTGCAGTGCGGGCCTCAGCACCCTGCAAACCTGCACACAGGCAGTGATGCTTGGACTGCTCACAAGTTGTACGTTCACATCCCTTGTGCTCAGCCAGAGAAAACAGCAAGCTCAGGGCAAAGCCAGTACGCACTGCAGGATACATGAAGCTTGGGGCATGATTTTAACGTGCCTGATGCCTTCCTGAGAATAGCAGCGATCACAGAAAATGAGGCAGGGGGAGAAGCAAAGGAACTTTTTTTGGTCTGTGATGCAGGAGTCTGGAAAACAAAGAACCCCCCCACACACACACCTAGCTTGTTAATTAGGCAAAAAATTCTCCGAGGCAGCAAAGTGCCCGGGCTGGGGCTGGCACCCTGCCAAGCTGGCACATGCTGCCCCAGCACAGCACAGCTCTGCGCTGCCCACTCGCCATGGGCTGGGCTGCAGCGACAGCACAGGTTATGGGGTGACTGAAAAGCTTTTCCGTTGTCCCCTTCTGATTACATGTAAGCTTCATTACTGGCAGCAGCAGCAGTTTGTTTCCTTGGACAACACTCAGACTGAAGAGGTGTGTGCCTTGCTTTGTGGAAGACCCAATGTGATCAGTACTTTCTGATCCCCCCACTCTTGGCAGTACTGCAAGAGACAACAGGCTTGAAAAAAAGCTTCCCTTTCTGTGCTGGGTTTATAAACATCTCTTTTCTTTTTTTTTTTTCTTTTTTCTCCAGAACTGTTCTACCCAAGAAGTTGTTGCAGTGAAAGCTGGAAAGGAAACAAAAGACTTTTTGTTGAGGCTTCGGCTCTTCAGCACACGCTATCAGCGCTCCATCTGCTCGCTGGGCCCCAGCTCCCATGTTCTGGTCACCGAGAGTGAGTGTAAGGCCACCAAGGTCATTTATTTACGTGCCAAGTAAATGCCACTCAGCTGTCTTCCCAGAGAGGCTGAGGTTGTCATGGTGTCTCCCACATCTTTTCGGTACATCTTTATATTGTGTACTCTAACAGCCTTGCCTACCGCAATTAAGCTTTGGCTTTTGAGTCTCTCTTTTCGTATCCATGTAAGTGTTTCCATGTAGTTATCTTTTGGATCCATTTATTTATTAGCATCCTCAAATACAAGATTCTCTCCAAGCATGATATGCATTGATATGAAAGCAGGTAATTGCTTAAAAACTGAAGATGCCTGTTGGTGTTGCAGCATTTAAGAAGAAAAAGCTAATGGTTGCTAGGATGGGGGTTACTATCAATGCAAATTTTGCATGAATTTTGTGCTTTCTAGCACAAAAATTGTGTGCACTTGTAAGATGTTTGCACACACAGAGATACCTCTGCTGGATCTAGCACCTCAAGTTTCTCTGGGGCCTCTGTGATCTCTGGTTCTGCGAAGATTTTTAGCCACTGTCCTAATAAATGGTATGCATGAATGTTGGGGAAGAGAGTTCCTGCAGGGCTGGTCTGCTCTGAGTGGCCTGAAATTTCATAACTGTTCACAATAATGGCCCGTGGGCAGGAGAGTCTTCCTCTGCAGGGCGTGCTGGGAAACTCACTTCTGAGGGTGGCACTGCTCCCTGGGTAGGAGCCCCTATCGGTGTGATTTCCATGCACAGAATGGAAATCTTTTGTCCTTCCTGGTGACCGCAGAACTGAGTTCAGAGATGTTCCATACGTTGTGCTGCATTTCTCTCCCTCCAAGTCTCAGAAGTGGAAGGAAATGGAATAATAAAATTGTTACAGCAGCAGGAGCCCAGCTGAACGGGTAATTGTCACACCATATAAAGGTATTTGAAAAGGTGGAAGGAAAAATAAACTAAATGTCCTCCTTTTACCGGGGAAACATATTATTATTTATGAATAATTTTCATTGTTGAAGGAAAGAGTAAGACACAATCAGAGAGACCATAAAACAGGAAATGTATAAAGTGTTATTTACATTACATTGGAGAAGAGGAAATCACTGGCAGGGAGAACGCTTTTTTTTTTTTTTAATACAAAATCAAGTTATTTAGAATTGCATGCTTAGATTAAATTCTATACGAAGAATAATCCATGATTCTTCCTGCAATAGAAATGTGACTTCTGGTGATGCTAATGCCTCTGACTCAGGTTGCGTTTGTGTCCATGTACCACACAGCAGTGTGAGGCTGCAGCAAGATTCTGCTGTGGTAGCAGTGGAACAAACCTGGAGCTGAGGGAAAGGCAGCTTTCCAAAAGGTTTCTTGTGTATAACGAGTGACAGACACGACGCAACAATATCAGCCAGTATCAATAGAAGCGTGGCTGGTGTCGGAGCAGTGGCAGACCAACAATTTCCGAAGTTATGACTGATGCAGTAAATACACTACCAACACGTGTGCTCAGGCTGAGAAGCTGCCAGCCTTGGGTTTAAGAGATATGTGGCTGTGTGTTCATATAAATACACCCTGTTAATAGCTGATGAATAATTTTTACTACCTCTTGCCACCAAGGATTGCGAATTCTAATTAGTGAATGTGTTTATCCCCAGAAAGCCCCTGGCTCCTGCAGGCTGCCAGCCTCGCACAGTGCTGCTCTGTTGCAGCAGCCCTGCCTTTCCTCTCCCAGCCCCTCAGTGCCCCATAGGTTGAAGTCACCAGCATTGTAGCCGAGGACAGCTTTATCCTTTCTGTTCTTAAAGAATGCCTTTTTGTTTTGTTTTAATGAGGCTTGCTAATCACTGATGACTTTCAAAGTTTCAGTGCTAGATCAGGAGACAAATTATTCCTGGGGACCCTCTTCAGGATGCCAACCCCGTGTAACCAGAGCAGTCTGGGGGACTTCCTGATCTCTTTCTCTATTGCTCATCCCACAGAGCTAGAATTTTTTTCATGTGTTCCCAGAAGACAAAGGTAGCACATAAAGGAGAAAAATACAACGATTAGTTGGTTCTTAAGATGCATTTGGGGAGTGGTGCTGCTGGACATGTGTAGATGCTGCACCTGATTTGTAGGGCTGAGGATCAGCTAGGAAGGTTTTTTGCTTTTACTCTTCTGGTCTGCCAGTAATGAAGTGTGAACTGGCATGAAATGTCATAATCTCAGACTTTTGCACTCCAGTATTTTACCATAAAATCGATTGCTTTCTCAGATGTAAGCAACTGGAGAATGCGGAACAGATTAGGGCCTGTTAGTGTTGGGCAGCCCTTTAAACAGATAAGCATTCAAAAGGGGTTTGTACAAGTGGAAACGACACAGCTGATGACTGTCTGTGAAGAATATTTTTTCATCTTCTCCTGTTCAGAGGAAAAGCAGCCCAAGCAATGTGGGCTTACAGCATGTCAGATCACAGCCAAGGGAAGAGTGTTGCTTAAATTCAGATTGAACTTTGCTCTTTTCATGGGGAAATGGAGTTCTTACTAAAATGCAAACTTTTGTGGGTGCTTTCTACTTTCCACAAGAGATGACAGTTCCAGAGAAAAGGAAAGTGCTTTTGACTTTTGGGGTTGGGTTTTAAAGAAGTCTCAAATGTTTTGGTAAAAGCTGAAGGATGCTTTGTTGTCTTACGCAGCAGAGTGGAATTGCAAAGAGTAAATAAATATTATGCCTCATAAAGTCCTGCTTCAGAAACTTCTAAACAATTTGTTTCTCCTGAAAAGTTTTTTTTTTGTTTGTTTGTTTGTTTCTTTTTTTTTTTCCCCACTATCACAATTAGCTACTTGCTCAAGTACTGCTTTTATGCATTCGAGGAGGGACTTCCAGCTGCTGCTCTTGGTGAGTACCATCCCTGGGAAAAGATACTTGGAAAAGAACAGTGAAGGAAAAAACACTTTAATTGTCTATCTTAAGAAGAGTTCCACCAACAAAACAGTGAAATAGCCTAACATACAGATTTAAGACAGGTTCATGTCACAACGCTCTTGAGCCACATGGCTGATGGTTGCTGATGCTCAGAGCCCCCGGATGCCTGATTGCTGCATCTGCACACAGGGCCTTAAAGGCAGGTCTGGAGCGATGAGCAATTGCTCAGAATCACCTGTGGGAAGCTCCACAGCTTCCCCAAAGTTGACACCAAGTATTTGGAAGGAATTTGCTGCACCCAGTTGTAGCCAGACTGATGGTGGAGTTGAAGTTCAGGGCCAAGCTGCAAGCCCTGAGCTGGTGCAGCAGGACGGTGCTGTTGTGAGCTGAGCTGGCTCAGCAGTGAGAAGGAAAGAACCTGAAACAGATTGTACCTACAGCAAGGCAGTGAGTGTTGCAGGTACACCTCCCTGCTGAAGGCTGTGGAAATCCTATACTTTATTCACATGAGAAACCAGACTTTAAGTGGCCAATGGATAAGGCTGCGTGTAGATTAAATGTCTGCACACGGTAAATCCACGGAGTACAAGCTACTGCCTTGTACCACTACAATACCCTATGCATAATGCATAGCTTATGAATAATTTGCACAAGGATCTATTCCCAAACTTATGATGTTACATGATTTTTTTCACTCTGAAAGTAAACAGAGGGAAAGTGTCATCCTTCAGGAATACAGGGGACAGGCAGGATCGGGAGCTGGAGAGCTGAGGCAGCCCCACGGAGGAAGCAGCTCTCGGGACTGCATGAGCAGTGTCTGCTGTTAATGCTCTAGCAGTCCAGGAAGAAAATGAAAGGCTGTCAGATGGTTAAAAATCATTCCTTTTATTACAGCATTACTCACTGCCTTCGACTTTGTGAAAAATTGTTTGGAAAGCTGATTGTTTCAATGGGTGTGGATATAAAACCAAAGAAAACACTGCCCTTGGAGGCAAGGATATAGTCCTTAATTTCAGTTGGAAGCAAATAAATAGCAACTATTTCTCTTCAGCCTTCTGAGTATTTTTTGTGCTTCAAAATCCCTGAATGATTACCTGCGTGAGGAAGCAAGGAAAAAGAAACCTGCTTAAGGTAAAAGTAAGTTTGATGCCTTTTTTCTGTTAATTTTGGCCCAAGATTCCTGCCAAGCCTGATGTAAATGCCCTGTGGTGTTGGAAGAAACTGAGTAGTTTCTTTTTGTACTCCTCATTTTTGTTTTTCCTTCTGGATTTTCCTGGGAGCATATGCTTGTCCGTGCCCATAGGACCTGGGAGTCGGGATTTCTGTTCCTTGTTTAAAGCTCATTCTTTCCAGATTTAACTGATTCTGGCGACAAAGAAACAAGTCACTTTGCCATGCGTTGTTCACAGGGTGTAGCCAGAGCTTCTTAGGCTCAAAAGGTAAAATTTACAAAGTTTAATATTAATGAAATCAGGAGTTGTGGGATTTCACACAAGGGGGGTAGGTGGGCTGTCTTGATGCAGAAGCAGCAGAAAGCCAGAGGGAACAAACATTTTGTTACCTAAGACAACAAATTCTAGCCGAGCCATCCCAATCCAAAGACATTTGAAACTCAGTTCCTATTTTTGTATTTAAGTATTATTTCCATCAGCTCCTTTTCGGTAGAGTAACATCTGCCCTATTTTGAGGTTTGCCTTTTGCAGAGGTGTAACTGCCATCTACTGACTGCCGCACGGATGCTCTGATCAGCTTCCTGAAATTACACGCTTCGATGGCTCTTAAAGGAAGGAGAAGGCTGCACAGACTGCCTGCGTGCACACACCTGAGGAGGAGGAGGAAGAGGAGGAGGAGGAAGAGGATGTTATTCAGCCAGTCTCTCCCTCACTGTGCCGGTGGCTTACATGGATTTAACTTGGCAGATCTGCGGCTGGGTAAAACGAGCCTGAAAGGCTGCATTTTCTTTTCCAATGGTTTGTATTTCTTTCTCAGAATACCAGGCTCTCTACAGCCAGTGCAGCTGTGTGTCAGGGCCAGTGGGCTCTCACTGGCATGGCCCTGACCAGCCCAACCTGCAACTTGACTTCTCGGCTTCCCTTTGGACCTTCTTTGTCACCACACATTTTCCTGATGCTCAGAATTCTTGGTTGGAGCTTGTTGCCAGCCCCAGGCCTTGCATGTGCTGAGCCTGACTGTGTAAGCTGCAATAATCAGTTGGGATTTTTTGTCTGGTGAGCCTACACAGAGCACTTGTTTCTTCCCAGTGTCACTGCTCAAGCAAGCAAGCACTGCTTGCACCACTCCTCCCTGGGTGAGAAGCAGCCTGCACAAACACAGATGAAAATTCCCAACCTGATTCAAGTAATTTTGGTTCCAACTTCCACTTTCTTTTAGCCCATCAATTTCTTTTGGCAATTTCTTTTATCACATCAACCTCCTTAATTCAACCCAGCCCACTTTTCTTCCTCCCTTTGCCACCATTATTTTCGTGTTTGTTGTAGCATAAGCAACATCAGTATGGGATGCTGTAAACCTCTTTAGTAGAGGTCTCGGTGGTGGTAGGATTTGAAGGAGAAGATGGTCTGAGTGTTTTGCATGGTTTAAAAAACAGTCTTGATTTACAGCTTTTAGATTTAATCCTGAAAAAAATCCTCTGAAAATCAAAACATAACTTAAGGCTTTCAATTTCAGTCAACCTGAGAAATCATGAATTCAGTCATCACTACTGAAATGTGACAGACTTATTTGCCAACGCATGCAAAAATGTCTCTTGTATGTGAAACCATAAATTAACCAATATTAGTTTTGAAAGACTTGCAGGTCTCATCAGGCCTTTCAGACAGCACAAGAGGAGATTCATAGCTATAATGAAAGCTGAAAGGTTTTTTCCAACAGACCCTTGTCTCACCTGCTCTTAAGCATGTTACCTTTCAGCATTATATGAACTGTTACTCAAGATTTCATTTTTAACATTGGATCCACTTTGAATTTTTCAAGTTGTATTTCAAATTAAACTCATTTATCGTATTCAGAGCACATCATGAAGATCGTTAATAATGCTATTTAATATGATCTCCAACATTTTTGCTTTGGAGGCTTTTATGCAAATTCCAAGTCACTACTTAAAAGTAGAAGTATTTACATATATATATATATATGAAAATCTGGCTGCAATTTTAATTTTGCAGTCTGCATTTCAGAAAAGTGTTGGTAATATCTATAAGAGACTTATTCCTGGTTTTTGGAGGTATGTGGAAGTACTTCTTCCTGATAAATTTCTAGCTATGTATTTACTGAAATTTAAAAGATGTATATTTTTGAAGGTTTGAACATCAGTTGTCAGGCTGTATTTTAGAAATAGGGCAATTCTAAACTACATTTACCCTCAGCTAAAATGGATGCTGTATTTTGAGCTTACAATACAGCAAATCTTAATCTTTCTGAGGCTTCTGGAGCATATAGTTAACTTATGGTTATCCCCACCCAATTAAGGGCAAACTTGCATACGAAGATTGAATTTGTAGACGGGTTCTTTCTCTTTATTTTCCAGTACTAATGGTGCTTGTGTAGGGTATACAAATATATAAAATCAAAGGATTGCCTTTTTTATAAGCTGAGACAGCAGCTCTGTCTGTCCTCTTCCATTTTACAAACCTTCTACCTATCTGGATGTTTTTATCATGGAGAAAATTGGAAGAAACGCAAACTTCCCCACTGAGCTTTAAAGACTTCCAGTGAAATAAACAGTCCTGCTCACCAGAAAGTTAGCCTGAGCAGGCACATTTGAAAGGTTATGAACTAAAAAAAAAAAAAAAAAAAAAGCAAACTTCTAAATTGGATTGCTGGCAGCAACTCCTCATGTTTCACTTAAGCCAGTTTAGTTAAAATGATTTTCTTTTTTGTTTGCCAGGAAAAATGAGATGCTTTGTTTAGGTTCATTACCTCTAATATTTTATAAGTGGGTGGGTAACAAGCTCTGCTCTGTTTTCTATGTACTATATTCCTAGATGAAAGCATCCTTGCCTGGGACGTTGCCATTTTGCTCTTATTTGGATGCAGAGCATCCACTGTTGTGTGCAGACTCTTGCAGAGATTGCATTTGTATGTTCTTGTTGAGATCTTTGCTTCGGTTTTGCAGCTTCAGCAGCTGCACTGCTTCTGGAATATGGGGGAAATGTTTTTTTTTCCCCACTTGCCTTTATTCTTTGCTTCTCATTGTTAGGCATAACTCTGATTTTTCTCTGAATAAGGGCAGACTAAAGCACAGACATTGTGTCTGGGATTTCTGGTCCAGATTCCCTAATGCCTGTGGAGACTTAAAAGGTGGCATTAGATGTGACCAACCTGTCCTAATGGGTACAGTGGCCAAAAAGGCCAGCGTTGCTCACTTGCATGGACGGAATTGTCCACACAAGTATGTCTTTAAGTATTTCCACAGCACACAAATATTCTGCATCAGGCTCTGCCCTGTTTGTCTCCTGCCTGAAACTTGCCACCTCCTCGGTGCCAGGGCATGGGCTATGCTTTGGGATGCTCTTCAGTAAGGACTTCTTTCATGCAGCAACACGATGCTTTGCTCTAGGCAGGTCGAGCTCAGGCATTACTAAAGATCTGTAACTTGTGTCAAATCCTCACTAACTCATGATTTTTCTGAGGAAAATGAGCATGTTTAATTCTGCTCCTGCTTTCCTCAGCTGTCTCTGATTTTGTGCGTGCACTTCCACACCGAAGGCTGTGGGTCCCTGCAGTGCTGCTCGAGGGTAAAGAGTGTTGGATGCACTTTGCCACGTGTGTGCCAAAGAACTATTTGGCACACAAAGGGGTCTTGGGATTTTGGGCTTATCTCATTTTAAAACAAAAGAATCGAGAAGACAAAGTTTCATGAGAAATGATGGAGGACTAAAGAACAACCCCAGCTGAAAGACTGTGAGGAACCTGAGAGTGCTTTAAAGCACTCTCTTGGGCTAAGAAGTCCAGCCCGATCCAGGGTCTGTAAATAAGACTGTTACGTTGCTCATGGAACAGTACAACTAAACTTTCTGCAAAGCATAGGCTCAATTTGGATGCTGGTATTACAACAATTTCTAGAAGGTCTTTAAAAGTGCTGTGAAGATGATGGAAACCCAGCAGCTTGGTTTCTTCCTCGTGCCTGCCCCACGCTAGCACAGGAATTGCTGTGGCACACTAGAACAACTGAAGGCTGAGGCAGCCACAAATCCTACCCAGTTTTCATATGGTCCTGTTTCTTTAATAATATATATACATATATATATAATAGCCCTTAAAGCAGCAGCTTTACTTTTCTTTCTTGGTTTTTAGCACCCACTAAAGTACTCCAACGGCCTTCTAAAGCAGGTGCACGTGGCACTCTGTTGGTGAGGATTAAGCACACCCAGATTAGTTATACAAGGAGTAATCAGGTGTGGAAACACCCTGCCTTTTCCCCTTGGGGGGGCTTCAAATGAGCAGCAGTGCTCACAGCAAGCTGCATTACTCGTCACAGCCACCTCCTACTTGGTTTCCTAATAGCAGTACAATAGTTAGCATAATACTGTCCGTTAACACTTTATTTTATGTTCTGTATATTTTTATTACAGAAGACAATGGGGAGACCAGTGTGCTTGGCTCATCAGTTTAATTTATATCCAACACCAGTGTTGCCATTATGTCTGGAAAACACACACAACATGGAACTGGGATCTTTCAGTTTTTTAGAAAGAAAATACCAGGTACATTAGGGGATATCAGTGAGAACCTTTGATTTTTAGAAACAGTCGCTCTGTGCTGTCTGGAAAGTGAGAACATCCCTTCCAGGTATTTGGTTCAGCATTTGGAAACTGGTGGTCACCTGAAAGCTTTGACCCAGAAGGCAGAATGGATGCCAGTAGCTAAGTGGAGGCATGAAAAATGAATTGTCTTTTTCTCCCCAGAGGAGAGATCCATCCTGCTGGAGCTGGAGAACACTTGCAAACTCACAAAGCTCCTTTTCATTAGAGAAATAAAAGCCTCATCATCCCCAGAGCTCTTAATTAGGCACCTTTTGCCATTCGCACAAATCTATGTCTCTGCTGTCAAGTCCTATTTGTTTTAAAAATTGATTCATTCATTTCAGCCCTTTTGTTGGGTGGCAAAAATGGATAGGCCAAATGAATCCAAACACTTTGTAAATTGTAAAGGTTTTAATATAATCAGTGCAGCAAAGCCAAGCTCAGAGAACAAGTGTACACCAATGCTTTAGTGCAAAACACTCGTAGAGCAATAATGAAAACCACATTCAAAGCAGAGAGGGCACCAGAGGAGAGTAAAAAAAGCACATATGAAGTAACTAGCAGACCTACATGGTATTCTCGCATATATGGTGGATATTAGTCTGTGCTGCAGGCATTGTCTATCAGTTAGGAAAGGTCAAAAATGGAAGTGCTAGGTTTTGCTAATACTTAGGTTGAGTGCTTTTAGTTCAGGTTTCCTGGTGAGGAATGGTTTCAATATTTAAAGGAGTTAGCATTTCTTTTTGTGACCTCCTGACGAATAGTGACTTTTAGGTATTGAATATAAACTTATACTGAATTCAACTCCATTTGTAATCCTTGTTTTGAAGGATTTCTGCATTATGATAATATTCACTGATATGTCTGTTTGCAAGGAGGTTTTTATTCACACAGGAAACAACTCCTCATGTACAAACAGTGAAATGTATGTATGAATGCAAATATTTGCATATAATCATTTTCTGTTCGTTATTTTCTTATTTTAAAAACCTCAGTGAACCTTGAAGCAGGAATAAAACAAAAACCATTGGTAGTGGGAATTGCATGAAGTGTCAGAGATGTGTGGCTGGAGCTCATCAGCGAAGCCAAGCAAAGATGTTGCAAGTGTCACCATCTGGGAAGCTGAGCCTTCCATGCGTGTGGTTGCTCAGCTGCTTTCCAAGCTTCAAAGAGTCTCTAGTTATCTCTAGTTTCAGGTTTGGCTCATTATTTCAGGTAGTGACACTATATATATGGAAGTTTTTTCACAGAAGTTCATGAGAAGATGCTAGATTTTTCCAAAAGCTTTATTTTAGATCTAAAGCTATTATAAAGTTGTTCTTTACGTGGATAGAGGGCTCGATGGCAATTATTAATCAGTGTGCTGTAGTTTGGATGGGAAAGATAGGTATTTAGCTGATGTGCACACTGTGTGTTCTGGGGAGAGAAGGTCTTTATTAAAGTCCAATGTGATTAGAGGAAAAGAGTAATGTAAAGATCATTGATTGGAAGGCTTACAGAGGTTGTTTTCACATTGATTATCTGATTGTCTTTTCAGTATATGCATTTTTCTGTAAACATGTTACCAGTTTGGGTGTTTGCTCACTGTACTTGTGCCTGTTCAAATGAGCTGTGAGAAGTCCCAAAGCCTTACCTTGTATTACACAGAGGAACATAGACCATAGGATAAATGCATGATGTATCCTTGCAAACTTACATCAGCCAACTTGCAGTAATTATGGTGTCTCAGCTGTCACTGTTGACTTTTATTTTTTATTTTTTTTTCCCACCTGTTAAAGAAGTTGCCAAGAAAAATATCAATGCATTGGAAATAGCTTAAGAAATTATGAAAATCCCCACCTATCATGTTTCTTTACCCATTTGCTGTTGTTTGTGGGATTACATGAGATCCAACACAAACACCTTTATTTAGTTAAATACAGTATAATTTACTCTTGGGTTCCTTTTTCAAATATAAGTCTTTTATTTATTGAATGTTGGAATTTCCATAACCACCCTGAGAGCCTTGCTGACAAAGTAGTGTAAGCAAATTGTCTTAGAGGCGCTCACTTCCTAGAAGACTGAATCAAAACAGGATTCATCAAAGGAGTTCACACAAGAAAGAGCTTTGCTCTTTCTCACATGTAGACAGTGTTTGCTGGTTTGTATTTGAGGCAGATCAGAGCATAGGCATTGCCAGTGAGGCCACTGCAGTGACAGGAGCTCTTAGCTTCAGCTTTCATACGCAATTTTTGCCCAAGATTATGAAAGTTCTTGCAGTCTATATTTTGATTATAAAGAAGAGAGGTGATCCATGCGCAAACTGCATTTGCTATGGATTAGCCAGAACTTGCTTCGAGCTACCTTGAATAACAACACCAAAAGTGTATCAAGACATACTGAAGCTGTGCTAATCCAGCAGACTCACCCTTGAGACTAACTTATTTAGTTTCCACTGTGTTAAAAATATACTTGGGTCTCCACCTGCAAAAGTTGAGAGTGAAACTCTACTCAGAAAAGCAGTTTCCATCTCATAGTGTATCAGGGCCAGGCATCTGGTGGTGTCAAAATGAAAATGTGACACATTGTGTTTAGCTAGACCTGAGATGAATTGTGAAAACTGCTCAAGTTTGGGAAGTTTTATATGGTTTGGGAGGAGGATGAGCTGCTGAAATGTGCAATTTAGCTCTAGCAGCCACTGCAGATCTCAGGAATGTGTAGCGCAATGCAAGATTAACAAATCCCAGGCCTGAGAGATAAAAGGTATTGGGGGAGAATATGATGAACCCTGCAAAGCCTGAACTGCTTCTCTCTTGTTTGTGTCGGAGCATTGGACTGCTCCAATGAACCCCTGAGTAACTGGCAAAACTGTATGAAAGTCTGCAGCTGATTTGCTTCGCCAGCCCATTTGTCCACTAACAGAATCACTCCAATAAAGGTGACTTCAAGGTGCAGGGTTTGACCAAGGTGTCAGTTTTTAAATTTTCTTCAAATTTTGAGTATTCAACACAAGGCTGTATTTCAGAACTCAGTACATGACAGTTTGGACCTGCTGTTTTCACCCCTCTGTCTGTGACTGGGACAGTTTGGGTTGACCTGCTGGGAACCTCCCTTTCTGTGGCAGGAAAACACCTGAGTAGGGCCTGAACTCCATTTTCTGTCATTTGTCTCTGTAATCCAGACATGCCCACATAATCCAGCTGTCAGGTTTTGTGCTGTTTGCTGTTCTTCTGAAGCTCAGGTGAAGCACTTTGGCTACCCTGCTTTCAGGGGCTATGCACAACCTCTGTACGCATCACCCCCACCTCCGTTCTCCCGTTGGGTTTGGGATGGTGGCTCTGGGCCCAGATGGTGTCAGAGGTGCAGAGCAGTGCAGTGTGTTATGCTCAGCCACCCCGTGCCCCCCAGCTGCACGGGGGTCCCGTTCCCCAGGCTCCCACCCATGTGCGGATGGTTGCATGGCTCCAGTGTGCGCAGACAGCTTTGGTGCACCTCCAGAGCAGGTGAAGCCACAGCCACATCTCAGTGTGCCAGAGCAGCCTTCCAGGCTTTTATAACCCATTATAGTATCAGTAGGATTCTGGTTAGAGGGCTGGGGGTCCTGGGCACCACAGAGTGTGGGGGCAGAGCCTGTGGGTCAGCCAGGCCCAAACCCTACCAGGCCCAAACCCCACCACGCTGCTGGCTCACGACAGGAGAGCTCTGCCTGAGCCATAGAGAGGTGGCGCTGACAAGCCTCTGTTTACAGCATTTCAGTTCAATGAGCCCCAGTAATTATTGACAGGTCTAATTACCACCAGGTCTAAATAAGAGATCATAAGAGCTCTGGTCAGAGGAAGGAAGTTATTGTCAGACCTAGGTACTGAAACTACGTAGATTTACACGTTTTAAAGTTTCAGACATTACAACCTCCTGAACAATTCATTGATTCAGGGTTCCTAAAATAATGACAGAATAAAGCACAGCCTTGGTTAGGAACAGGTACAGTCTGAGACCCTGCCCACGTGGGAACACAGCCATAAGATGGTGAGGGTCCTAGGTGATTTGGACCCACTGCCATCCCCATTACTGCTTTAAAACAGACTTTCTGAAAACACACGTTTGGAAGAAGCAGCTCTGTGTTGTAAGAGAGCTGCATTTTTCTGGCAAACACTATAACCGGCTTTAAGACAGCAGAAGTTGCTAAACTCACATGTATTGAGAAAGACGGTGAATTACAGATGTTTGCAGCCTCACATGGAGAGAAAATTGCAGGATTCATTAAGCAGTAGCTGGAGGAAGTGTGTATGGATGCTTCAGAGACCTCTTGTGCAAACAGACAACGCCTTAACTCATAGACTTAGTGAATTAACTTTGTCCTTCAGCAATGGCCTTACTTAACTTTTTCACTGTCATCACAAATGGCACCTGAAACACCCTCTGAAATTACTTTTTTTTTTTCTTCTTCTTCTTTTTTTCTTTTGTAGAATTGAGCCTAGTACCTTCTAGGACCTTCCTCCAAGCTAATAATCTCTTTCAGCATCTCATTGGAATTAGTGGCTGGCCCTGTGGCTGGATTCATCTTGTAACTTCCAAAATCTGATAATTTATTTTTTTCTCAGTATTGCACCCTATTAGGTACCAGGTAGTACTTAATGGACCTAGTCTGCATGCACTTGATTTTACCCCTTCATTTTTAATTTTACGAACAGCTGAGTCTAGATTGGCATTTATTATAACATGAAATACCCTAGTTGAGCAGGTGCAGCATCACATAGTACCTTCCTTAATGGCTGATGTGTTTCCTAAATTCATTTTAAAGTTTATAAAATGTGTGAAGCAAATTAAGAGATCCAGTTGACTACAAGCTTTTCTGTTCTGAAGCATCACAGCACTGCACACTGTCAAAAAGTGCATCAGAACTTGTGATTGCCATCGCATCAAATACCAATACAGGCAGTTTTACAAACCATGAAATGTCCAGGCTCACTCAGGGAGCTTTTTGTTTTCATGTTTGCTTTTCATTTACTTATGCAGAATTCATTATATTTCATATGAGGATTAGATTTTATACTAGTTAAATATATTTGACTCTACTGATGACAACTGCTATCTCTAAGTCTTTTTAAAAAAGTACCCTTACGCATTAGCAATGTTCACGTCCAGCCCTGCCTTATTAAACTGTTTCCATCTTATTTCCTTGTTACCTAGTAGTTGTTGGGTATTAATGCATAAATGGATACTTTACTTTGTTCTTTTATTTTTAACCATTTGATCATTTGTCCAGGAGGCGAAAGCATGCCCCCTCTTGCCGTGCAGAAAATGGGCCTCATCAAGCATTGGCTGTCTGAATCTGTGGAAGCCCCTGGAATGGATCACTCTTCTGAGGCAAATCTCTTACAGGGAAATGCTGTCAGCAGGATCTCCAAATCGAATTAGAAAACCTCCATGGAGGAGGGCATTTAAATAACCAGCTCTGTTGGTCCCTCAGGATGTGCTTGTCTGTGAAACCTTTCAAATGGCACAGGCCTTTGAAAGCATTCTCCGTTCTGCATGGAAAGCTGCACGAACCGGGACCGTGTTATACCATGTCCTGCATGAGCCTGGTGGGGGGTTGTTTTGAGGAGAGTGGCTTCTAAACTGCTGCTTTTGAAGATTACACAGAGATCTACTGGTGCTGTATGCACCAGTACCTTTCTGGAGCTACTAAATTGCAAATGTAAGGAATGACTGGATAAAGCCCCTCAGGCTGCTGGACACCCATGGTCCATACCCTGCATGGAAGCAGAGCTCATCCTCAGGGGCTTCTCTTGCCACGGCTCAACCATGCAACACCCAGGGCTGCCCTCTGCTCTGGTTCTTTCCCCAACTTGTAGGGGTTGGAAGGGACCTCAAGAGATCATTGGGTCCAACCCCCCTGCCAAAGCAGGTTCCCTAGAGCAGGATGCACAGGAAGGCATCCAAACAGGCCTTGAATATCTCCAGAGAAGGAGACTTCACAACCTCCCTGGGCACAGGTGGTCGTTCTGAGAAGGAAGAGGCAGTCGTGTTCAAGCTTTCCCTGACCTAATTCACGGTTACAAGGCAAAGCAGTTTCTTAACTGAAAGGTAAATGTCAAAAGATACTAGGATTCAATTATTTCTTATTTCCACATATCAAAGGGAATTAAGTGAGAGGGGTTAAGTGGATAAATGTATCAAGTATACCAGCAGTGAAAACGATATACTCTCTTTCTACAACTGTAAACAATTACCACTGTGTGATTTGGAAACTGTCAATTAGCCCTAACCACAGTGAATCAGAGCTTCTTTCTGGTGTAATGAAAATAGAGCATCTTACTGTCACATCAGTATAGATTGCATTAACCTTAATGACTCCTGTAAGGCTGAACCTTGCCTTGGCAGACAGATTGAGCACTCTGCATTGTAAGCTTTGACTTAAACTTACCTTTGTAAAACTTTCATTGATTCTCCTCCAATCTAAACTAGAAATACAGAAATTGTCAGGTTTGAACAGACCACTGGTGCAACTAATTTGATTTTCTGTGTATAATTGTAACCAGTGATGGATGAACTCAGGGAAAAAAATAATAATAATAATAATAAATAATTCTTCCTTTGCCCCTCCCCACTACTCTTTCCCCTTTTAGCCCCCCTGTAATTTTTTTTTAATTAAGTGTGATGCAATGTCATGGAGCTTTCTTTACCCCCATTTGATGACAAGTTTAGGTACTGAAATGGAAATATTAACAGCTCTTGTATGTTTGAACTCCCTAGTCTTACCAAAGATACTATTCCTGCTAGTGTAAATGTCAAATCTCCGTTTGGAAATAATTCTTCTGTATTCCTTGTGTTAAGTAGATTATTCTGAGAAGTTTCCAAATTCATTGCCAGCAGCCTCCTTTTTTGTTGTTGAATGCTTCCTTTCAGTGAGAGCAAATGTAGATAGGACCATGTTGCTCCGTGAGCACAACCATCTGCCATATCTCCTCTTTCATTAATTCCTGGCCAGATTTTTTCTTTGGTGAATTTGATAGTCTTAGATCCTCTTAGATTTGTCCCAGTGTAACAAAATCTAACCCCTTTTCCTTTATTTGCAGGAAATCTGTTTCTTCATGTTGCACTTCGACAAAATTGCTGACTCTTCATAGGAAGAAAGATGTAAGTCAGTCTCTCAGCTGGAATATTTTCTTCTTGATCTAACTGTTGGTATAGCTTTATTGATTAGCTTCTCCAAAACATCTGTTGGATTTAGGTTCCCAACCTGTGACATATTGAAGTGATTTTGCGGGGGGGGGGCAGTTGCTCTGCACTTCAGAATTGAACCCATTGGGATTTCGAACTCAGCATTCCAAAATGAAAGTGCCAGAAGTTAATTACTTTTTGTATAAAAATCTGATATGGTTTCAATTTTGGAGATATATTAGTCCTACTTAGCTCATACCTTAGCTTTGTTTTAACTGACTCTCTACCAGGCTTCAGAATAGTCCAGCTATCAATACAGCAAAGACACTACTCTTGTGAACCTCATTACTGGATGTTTTTTTTTCCAAAGCTCTGTTGCTGGTGTTCAGAGAATATATGTTATCAGCTTGTTTGTTTTGCACATTTGCAAAAATTTCTTTGCTTGTGAATAAGGAAAAAAAGCTCAGAAATGTTTTATTCCTGATGGCTGCAAGTACCACAACCTGCTACAGTATAGATTAGAAGGCTGCAGCTGTACTTGAATTCAAGAGGGAAAAGAGTCCTTCAAGCTGTGAAGTTAACTGGGAATCTCTGAGTAAAGCATTTTCCTTTTCTCCTGTGAAGCTGGAGCACACTGCTGGCATCTTGCCACACAGCTTTCCAAACCCAGCCATCTTTGAATAGTAGCTCCAGTGCTGGCAATGTACTGTAATATTTTTTACAATTCAAGTTTAACTACTTTTCCTATTTTTATACGTTGCATTGGTATGTGCAAAAGCTTCTCATTCAAGTGGGAAACTAAAAGATGAATGAGTAAGAACGAAGCAGGAGGTTAACCTGACAGTTCCCAACCAAAGAGAAAATGTTTAAAAGTTGAGCCTCCTAACCTAATACGAGGATAGACGAGAAATTGCCACAAAGCCCCCACTCATGGGAAGCTGTAGGATGGGTTGAAGATTTTTTGGACAGTGACAGAAGGCCTGAGTGAATCTGAAAAACAAATGGATCTGGGGAGAATGGATAAAAAAACAAAGGCCAGAATTGTTGCTAAAGCTTCCCTCACTGAGAACTATTAAAAATATAATTACAATGAATTAGGAGGCAAGGGTAAAGGTTAGGACAGAAGATTTCACTAAGGCTAGAACCTTTTATTTGAAATTCAACCTGTATTTAGAGCATGGATGTGTGTGCATACACATGTGGGACTGTACTCTCTAATGTTTCCTGGCACTGCTGGAGAAGTAGATTAGAACATGTTTTTCTACAGAAATGGCCTCGGTTTGCTGTCAGCAGTTGCACATCCTTACTCTGCAGGTCAAGTGTAGGGAGCTCTTCTGAGTCGGTGTTCATTTGTAAGAGAGCAGCCAGTCCCACAAGCTTGTTTTATTTAACCACTCCGGAGGCCAGGATTCAGCAATTCAGATGTAGCATTAAATGCACGTGGATGATTTTGCAGGGTATAGAAACTGCTTCTTGTTTGCTTGTAGTGCAGTGATGTCCTATGTATTTTGGAAAAAAAGGGAAGGTAGATGGTAACGGAATACAAAATTTGCATTAATCTCATTTATCACAGAGCTTGACCCCAGGATTATGCTGCTCCTTCACAGCATTAATAGCAGGGTTTTGAAGTTCTCAGCTTTGAACCATATATTTGTTTTCAATCTCCTGTACTCTTTCAGTCTTGTTCCTCTTCCCTTTATAGAGTAAATCAAATAGGACATATCTAAACCTTTAAAGGTTTCCAGATGTTTCTTTTATTAGGTTATTGGGAGGCAATAACTTTCAAAGGGCAGAAGAGTTTTGGTTATCTGGGGAATTTAATCAAAACAAATGTGAGTTGAAGTGTGTGTGTGTTGGGGGGAGGGGTGCTGCAAGAGGCCAACATTGGCTCCATGCTGGGAAGCAGGAGGAGAGCAACATGTCAGGGTTAAATCCAGATTTCCCTTGTGTGGGGATCATCTTGGGCTCGGACACGTGCATTACCTACATGAGGCCAGAAAAACATGATAGGGATGCTGTGATATACATCTGACTGAAAGATGCAGCCAAAAGATTTTTTTTGGCAGGCTAAAGAACATGGACATTGAGAGGAAATAAAATAAAAGTTGAAAATGAGAAATAAAGTAAAAGAGGATTTTATTTTTTCCTCGTTACCTCTCTGTAGAGACAGGTTTTCTTCCCAGAGACTGCAAGAAGACTGTAACACTTCTGCTGTACATTATCTCCTTAAAAGTGTTTTAAAGGCAGAGCTCAGAGTCTGGCAGAACTTGAGGTTTTTGTATGCCTAAGAAAAGCAGCAAGGACTCAACTTGCAGTGGGGTTGCTCCAGGTTTGCTCCCAGGAGGTACTTCCCAGCTTTTCTGTTGTGTTCTCCTGGCAGGGGTGTTGCTGAGATTACTGAGGTGGTCCCACCTGAGAGGTATGTTGCAGCATGTCTGGGTCAGCTCCTGCATGATGCATAACGAGGGGCTGCATCTTTTAGTTGTGCTTTCAAGTCTGTTGCCTTTATAAAACTTAGAATTTCTGGAGAAGAGAAGGAAAGTAAAATCAAACGCATTTCTAAGTAAAGCAGAAAGAACTTACTGTGCTAGGGCTTTGTGTGATCTCACTGCTGTGCAAATCAAGTTGCTGTAATGTTTGCAGCTCGTATCTGAAGTTATTGGTTCTCAGCTCATGTGGATTAGAGAAATAGTGTCATGGGTTTCTGTTTGTTTATTTCTTTCCCAAATCTTTACAGTGGCCTCTGTGTTTCACACTGTGGGATAGGACGAGTTTACTGGTGCGTTAGCTATGGTTGTTATCATGGTTTAAGCCAGCTAACCGTGGAGTTTGGTTAGTGCAGCCATATCACATACCTCATGTGCATCACTGGGATTCCTTCTTGCTTTGTCTTCTTGGTAAATCGTGTCTCACTGCTCTTAAATTCCACTGTTCCATAGAATGTCCTCTTAGACCATTGCTTTCATCAGTCAAAACCAAGTGCATGATGGCTAACTGCCACTTGAACAGGCAAAAAACCCTGTTGCTTAAAGAGGTCTCTTTTTTTCCCTAATATGTCTTTGTAGCTGTTTGCATCTTCTGCATCTTCAGTGAAGGAATCTAAGCAAAGAATGACAACACGAGCACATCATTCCCTGCCATCTCCTTTTCTTTGTCTGTAGCTCAGTGTTTGTCCTGCTCGTAGTCCAATTTCTAGGCTTACAAACAATCAGAATTAAGCAGCATTTCTGTGTGGCAAACCTCTGAGGTCACTAGAAAGACAAGGAAGATAGAAACAGCTGCTTTCAGTAACTCAAAAACTCCATTCTGAATAAATGAGGTGTGGTTTACAAAGACTGAAGTTTTCTGTTTAGAGAAAAGGTTTCAAAATTAAGAGGTTAAGGTTGAAGAAAAGGTTAGCCAAGGCTTACTAGAGCTGAAGTTAAGCACTGCCTGTACCATGTCAGCCAGCTGAGATGGATTGGTTGGGAGTTGGAGTCAAGTGGTACAGGGATCTCCCATAATTTAAACACAGTTTCTCTCTTGTGTTTGTACCCTGAAGTAGTGTCCCTGGAGGGGACACTGCAGGCCTTCTGTCTTCAGCCACTTTAGCATGTCTGAGAGGGGTAACAAGAGCTGTGTTTTAGTCCCTGCCAGCAATTAATTGCTGCTGAGCTGCTCACCTGAACTCCTACCAGCTCCCTGCTGCTTGGAGATGCTGCTGGTCCAACCCGCTGGCTGCCTGCCTGGGAGATCTCCTAATGCTGAGTACTGCTAACAGCAAGTGTGAGGTTTTCCCATTTTCATTAGTCTGATTCTCACCTTCATAGCTGTACTAAAGAAGTACTCGCTGCAAAAATAACAGACGTTTGTGAAGAGTTTGCATTGCATCTTGTAATTTGTTAACCTCCTGAGATATTACAAAGTGTTCTGTGACTATGCAATAGCCATAAAAATCTGTGAAGAAATGTGACTACCCCAGAATCCAGCAACTTATTTTGGGTATAAACATATTTCCATTTGCAAAATGTTTATGCAGCTCTAGACCATTTATTTGCAAGATCCAGGCTGCTTCCATAGCACCTGGAGTACCTTAACATTGGCAGCACCTGACTATAGCTGCTTGCATAATACAAAGATAACATCAAATTAAGACCTAAGTTAAGTAATTGGATTATACCACCCAAAATTTATGAAGGAAACAGATTTCAGTTACACCTGTGTGTTTGTAGATGATGAATTTTCACTTGTTAACCGTAAATGTTCACAGACAAGCTTGTGCACTCAACCAGCGAGAGAACAGAATCAATGTCAGCCCTGAGCAGCAGCTCAGATTTCAGATATTCACAGCTTGTAAAGTCAAACTTGTGAAGTTTAATTGACCAGTAATAATTTGAGGACATAGTGATCTCTCTGTGATTCATATGCAGAGTGCAACGGGGTAATTCACTGGAAATTATTTATTCCACTTTAGAAATTACAGAACACTTGCAATGGGACTGTGCATTTGCTAAAATCTTAACTTTTAATTTACTCACTAGCAGTACATGATGTTCAACTGGAAAAAGAGCAGCAATTAGGAACCTGCTTTCATGTAATTCCCTCCCACCATTACTCTTCCAAGTAGTTTTTAAAACGTCTGACCTGGATATCAATAAGCTCATACCTCTTGCTACAGCCACGTGTTGGTTTTTCTGTAAAGAGAAGATTAACAAGGGATCCGTGATCTCTTTTGCCTCTGTGACTTTCAAGTACAGAGCAGAATTAACCTGTGATTCTTGCCTCTCTTTTTCTGCTTAGACCAGTGAACTAAATGCCAATTTTTCTTGCTCAACTGCCAGTGAATATTTGCTGTAGTTTTTCCTTTAGAGCCTTGTCCCTTTGGCATAGCTGGGAGTTTGGCTCATCCAATTTTAGTGTCATTTTCTGTAACCTATTGCAAAGCTTTGCTCTTCTCTGTGGTTGTTTACTGGTATGAGTCTCTGGAAATGACAGGCAGGAATCAGGATCTGGGGGGGAAAGGGGCAGGGAAGAACTTCTGGGCAAATGAGACAATCTACAATCCCCCAAATATTGTGAGGATTGCATTCAAGAATGCAGAAAAACAGCTAAATGAGTGTCAAAAGGAAGAAAGCAAAAGTGAAGTGAATGGAATTTAGAAGATAAGTGACATTTCAGTTCTGCTTATAAACTTAAACCTTGATTTCGTTCTAAAATCTGCATATCGTTTATGAAAATTACCGCTGGAGGAAATAAAGTCTTTTGGAGGAGTCAGTCGTGACGTACAGATCCCACAAGAAATACTTCATTGTCATGCATGTAATCTAGCCTCTCGGTGCCCAGATTTACCACTTTCCTAAACCCCTTGAATTAATGGCACATCAGTCAGCGTCCCTTCACCAGCCAACAGGCCAGGTACCTCTGGCCTAAGCCAGCTGGGTTGGAGAAGCTGTCCAGTGATAGAGCTGTCATGTTGGCAAATTTGGCACTCTAAATTAGATAATGTCATTAATCTTAAGCTGCAGATATCAGGCACCTGGTGAGAATGATATCCCAAAAGGTAACTGTGAACTAGCTAGTGAGACCAAAGTATAAAAAAAACATGAAACAGAACCAATTCTGACAGGTCTTCACTTCATGCCTGGGTATAGGTGTAGATGCTACGCAGGTATCTATTGACTACAGAACAGCTGCTGAGTCCAGTGACACTGCTTGAAAAACTGTCACATCCAGCCTGCAAGGCTTAGATCTTACAGGAGGACATCGGTGGCAGTGATCTTTCCTTTCAAAAGAATGGAAAGTAAGCACATAGACAGGCCTGCAGAAACAAACTGCTTACTGCTGAGTTTTGATCTTTAGGGTTTAAGTAGTTTGGTAGGCTAAGTGGGCTTTAGGCCATTAAAAATGTGAACTCAAATGTCCCTAATTAGGAGAGTTATGATGCGCAGGTTCCCCAGCCAAGGACCTGGCATTTCTGCCGCAGCATTCAACTCTAACGTCTGCCTGATAAAGGTTAAGAACCTCTTGACGCTTGAAAACTGTATCATTTCTGTATCATTTCATAGAAGGTGCCACTAGTCCCTGGGCTGGGAGCTGAGCACAGCTGTCTGCTCTTGGCTGGTTTGCCCCTCGAGCTGGCCCGCTGCTGGTGCGTCCTCACCTCCCCGCCCAAGCAGCCCACTCTCAGCATCATCTTCAGCATCACTTCGCTGTTATGTCAGTGAGGTGATGCTGAAGAACTTTTTATGTCAGCCCTTCTACAGGAGAAAAGTGACAGCTGCAGATTATAAGGAAACTTTAGTGCTTTGCCCTCTATCAAAGCCCCTTTGTCACTTAACTGCACACGGTCTCTTTCAGTATTTAAACAATGCAGTTTGGGGGCTTTTCTGCTTTAATACAACCTGTTTGAAACGTTAGCAGTTTTTGTTCTGCGTTGAAATTATTTTCCTGTTTTTACAGGTGTAAACCATCCTGAGAGGCTTACATCTCCATTTTCAGGTCTGCCTCACATCCTAATGGGAAGACATCCTTGGGCCAGAGCCTGACCTGATTTATGCTAGCTTAAAATCTTACACAGCACCGTCCTCTCAATGTGTCTGGGCAGATAGCTTGACACCAGCCTGCATAGCAGTGGCTAAACAAAAGCTAGTGATCTGTGGAGAACTCGTCTGAGGGAAATAACATATCTTTTTTGAATATTTTAAAGGCAGAGTCTCCTGGTTTGCAGTTCTGCACAGGTTTATGCTGTACACTGAAGTCCTTCATCAGCCTCCAGCTATTTCCTTCACAAGAAAATTGACTGCTGGGAGCATTTTTTTTTGCCTGTTGCTCCAGGTGAGATGATTGTTGACTTCTGTGGCTGCCTGGCTGAAAAAACATCAGAAAGCAAATCTTTATGGGCATCAAGATTACTAGCAATGTGAAGAGAGGCAAAATGAGTTAGATTTTATCCTTTTTGTACATCTCACCTGGGAATATTTTTTCCCATCTGTAGTGGGTTTACATGGCAAGGTTTTGGTAGCTGTGTGGCCATAGGGGTGGCTTCTGCAAGAAGAATCTAGAAGCTGCCCCATGTTAGATAAGGGCCCTGCCACTGGCCAGAGCCAGGCCAAAAAGTAACGTTTTTTGCACCTCTGTGAGAGCATATTTAAGACAGGGAAAAAAAATGTTGGAGACAGCAGCTGGGAGAGAGAGAGGAGTGAGAAACAGCCTTGCAGACACCAAGGCCAGTGAAGAAGGAGGGTGCTTCAAGTGCTGGAGCAGAAATCCCCTGCGGCCTGTGGTGAGGACCATGGTGGAGCAGGATGTCCCCCTGCAGCCCATGGAGTACCACAGTGGAGCAGGGTTCCACGCTGCAGCCTGTGGAGGAGACCACGGTGGAGCAGGTGGCCCTGCACCGATGGAGGCTGCGGCCTGTGGAGGATCCCCGCAGGAGCAGGCCCTGGGCCGGGGCTGCAGCCCGTGGAGAGGAGCCCACGCAGGAGCAGGTGACCTGGCAGGAGCTGCTGCCCGTAGGGGAGCCAGGTTGGAGCAGTTTGCTCCTGAGGGATGGACCCTGTGGTACAGAGCCATATCTGGAGCAGCTCTGGAAGAGCTGCTGCCTGTGGGAAGCCCACTCAGGATCAGTTGGGGAAGGACGGCATCCCGTGGGAGGGACCCCATGGGGAGCAGGGGAAGAGAGGGACAGAAGCAGCAGAGACAGAGTGTTATAGACTGACCATAACCCCCATTCCTCTGTTCCTCTGCGCCTCTCAGGGGGAGGAGATGGAAGAGGGTGGATGGGGGGAAGGCGTTTTTGGTTTCTTTCCTTTGTTTCTCACTTCTCTAGCTTGTTAGTAATAGACAATAAATCTTACTATCTCCCTACTCTGAGTCTGTTTTGCCCATCCCAATAATTGTTGAGCCATCTCCCCATCCTTATCTCAACCCTTGAGCTCTTTCTGTCATATTTTCTTCCCCTTTCCCTTTGAGGAGGGGGAGTGAGAGAGCAGCCATGGCAGAACTAGGCTGCCCATCAGAGTAAAGCCACCACACCATCCATTCTTGTTTTTTTTCTTCTGGAGTGGACATGGTTGTCTTCCTCGACATCAGCCTTGCACCCCATCCTGCACCTGATCAGGGAAGAAGAGCTGCTGCAGACAGCTCTCTGTTCAGCCCAGTCTAGACTTCAGGGGCCACAACCAAACTAATTACACAGGATACCTTTGTCTTTGCCCTCGCTGTCGAGAAAGGCTGAGTGATGTACGCTCAGTGGTGGCAACAGCATTCATACATGTGTTTCATTGTACTCCAGTACCTTAGTTTCCATGGCTACCACAGAAATTGCAGGTTTGCTATACAAATTGGTAGGAGAGATTCAGAACACCAGCCCATATGCTGCAGCCTCCTGAACCTCATTCTCCTCTCCTGGGCTCAGACGTGCTTCCCTCTATCAGGGGCTGCAGCATTGGTCTCCACCACGTGCAGCAAGTCTTTGCCACTGCTGGGCCGCTTCTCGGGAGATCAGGCACTCAGACCAGCTTGCTCCCCTGTGCTACTCTCAGTTGTCAGGGAAGATGATCTGTATCTTGATGTACAGCCGAAGTGCCTGGGGGGATGTTTTGTCCCTTGTGGTTTGTTATTCTGCCACTCCCTGGGTGTCAAGCAAGTGAGTGAAAGCAAATTTTAGCATGTGATCATGGAGCTTTATGCAGAAAGACTGCAGGTCTTTCAAAAGCCAGTCTGAATGGGTAAAACAAAGCCCATCCAGGCTAGCACCTGGTAGGATTGGAGACTGACATAAGGGTCCACCAGGAAGATTACAGCAATGCAGAAGCATCAGAAATATTCCTGTTGTGTCCAAGTACCTACAGCTCTGCTTTCCTGAGCCGAAGATGGTATCTGTGTGTTTATTTGCTTAGTAATTTTTTTTCTATTAATTTTCCTAGTTGTTTTTGAATTCATATCAAATTTAACCTCTGCAACAGCCCAGAAATAGGCTCCACAGCTTAACTATGCACCGGTTGAAGAAAACCTTCCTCATGTTTGAGTTGAAGCTGCTGATTTTATCTGATGCCCCTGACTGACTGGTATTAGCAGCAATTATTGTCCACTTACCTTCTCCCTGACACATACAGTTGTGTAGCCCTCTGCTAAATCATCCCCCCTCAGTCACCTCTTTTTCAGCATTAGCAATCCTAGTCGATGTAGTCAGTCAGTCATCAACCAGAAGCCATCTCATAACTTTGATTATTGCCCATCTTCATGTCCTTTGCAGCTCAAGTAAATGCTTTCTGAAAGGGATGGGGACCAGAATGGCTCATGGTTGATACAGGCACTTTGTAGGATGTCCCATTGCTTTCCTATTAAATCCCAATGTCTGGATAGTTCCTGAGCACTGAGCTGGTACTAACTGTGAGAATACCAACATTTCTTCAGTGGTAGTTAGAAAGGCAAAGCCCATCACTCTGTGTGCTGACACAGCTGTCTGCTCTGGGGAGCCTGCCAAACTCCTTCCTTGGCTGCAGCCTGTCCACTGGCATCTCTTGTTCAATGGGGTGAGGAAGACAGCTGCTTTTGGAGCTGAGGTGACCTCCTCAGCCATGAGATGAGGCCATCCTTCGGACCTCCATCCTTCGTCCTCAGCAGACATTTTAATTCATTGTTTGAGGTGCCTTCCCTGAAGTGACTTGTATCAATGTGATCTTGCTTGTCCTTCCCCGACTGCCTGGGGAGGCAGGGGGAGATTCTGTGTTCCTCTTGTGTAGCAGTGATGATTTAACCACCCATCCAGATATATTTAAGTGGCAGTTCTGCACTGTGGACTACTTTGGTGGTCCTCCTGCTCTGCCATCACACAATACTTTGCCTGGCCCATTCATCTGCACATCATCTGCTATTCTGGAGATGGGAGCCTTACTTCCACCTTCCCACTCAAAAGCTGCAGCCAGGGATCAGGATGTTTGCAGAAAATGGCGTTCTGCACCTGAGTAGTGGCAATACAAGATGTTCATTTGGCAGACCAAGGAGAGAGCTCACAGGAGGCTCTGAGAGTGAAATATCACAAAACCTTTGTAGATGCTGTGCCTACGGAAGTGGTGAGGTAGGATGCAGCTAGGAGAGCACAGAACACGAATCTGAAAGTGATGGGAGATCCTCAGACCAGAAACCCTGTCCCTGATTTAGCCCAGCTTAAATTTTAGGCAATCTGTTGACCATCATTTATCTGAAGCAGAAGATTTACTGAAGCAGGCAGTTCTGTTGTTCTTTTAAAATTGTCCTGGTGTAGCTAGTTATAAAAAATTGCATGGGACAGTGATTCCAAAAGTGATCTGCTCCTGTTACAGCCTATGGTACTGACAGAACGTGGTCAGAAAACACAGACACCATACCCTGAAATCACCACACTGCTTACAGTGCGTGCATTATGCCTGGTACATTCAGCCAACCAACAAGTGTGTTTATTTGGTGATAATCAAATCAACAGAGTGTGTTACTACATGTGTGTGTGTGTTACTGCAGTTATTAAATAGCCTTTCTAAGGTTCATAAAAAAGCCAGTTTTAAGTAGCATTTTGCACCATACCACCATGAAAAAGAGTCTGTGAGGATTTTTAAAAGGTCTGTTAGCAGTGCACCACTTTAGCTAAGCATTGTAATTTTGTAAATGAACTCAAAAAATAATGAATAAAACATGAAATAGATGAAGCAAGATGAATAGAGTGCTAGAAGAAGATCCAAAATCTGTTTTGGCTAATGCTTGTAACATTAATTCTGCAGAACTGCCTTCTTCACACGCTACTAGCTGAAACTGCCACATCCATTCAAATACCTACACTGCTGTAGAAAAGTTTCTTTTACATTTTCATCTTTTACCAACTTGAAATTGGAGGGGAGTGACCATGAAGGATGCCTTATAGGATTCTAGCATCCAAACAAATTTAACTCTGCCCTGTGAAGTCACACAGCATGTGTTTTAGGTAGTTGAAAATTTTGTTGCCAGATCAAAATAAATCCATGCTAGAGATGTGGGAGTTTTAACATTTTCTTATTCTTATGGTGGATCTACATGTAAGTATCTTTGCAACAATCAATGCTTTTATTTCATGTTATATTTTTATTTTATTTTAAGTGATATGTTAATTCCAACTTGCATCGCTTACATTTGCACTGTAAATAACATAATTTCAGTTTCAGTTGTCTAGAACATTTTCTCATAGCCTTTATGATACTGTGCTTTGTGTTTTTGCTTAATTTTGTGTATTCTGACTAAATGTGTTGAAACAGAACAATAATGTGGAATATTTCTAATGGTTTTATAATAACAATATTGACATAAATTTTGAGAAGCAAGCATATCAGCTTTCTGTTTCCCAAGATTAAGAGCATCACCAGATTTATGTGCTAGCATTACTGCTCCCTGCCCTAATAATGTGTTTTGTGAGTTTGCCCTCCAAGTTTAATGGAGGACAGTGCTAGCAATCTGGAAAAACTGGCAACGTTACTCATTATAAAATGCCTATTTACATATATTAAATATGCCTTGCTAAAGTCTAACGACTAGATGTCCCCGAACAGCCCAGCAGCACTGAACCTCTCAGGTGCCCACACAGCACTCTGCCCATCTCTGCTGGTTGGCCAGGTTAATTTATGCAGCTGAGTCAGCTGATAATCACTGCAAACAAAATAGATCCAGATGCTTACGGTAGTGCACTGAGTTCTTTGGACAGGGACATTTACCATCACTATAGAAAATAATGAAGCATCGAGTCAGGCAAAAGGCCCATCTACTACAATATCTGTCTCCACCAGTGGCCTGTAGCAAATGTCAGGGAAACAGCATAAAGACAGGACATGCGTACAGTGGTGCTACTTAAAATACTCTTGCAGTCTTCATTGATCTGCAGCATAAATGTTTCCTAAGCCAGTGATGGTGCCTGTTTTGCACAGCCTTGACTGAGTTTTCTTCCTTTTATCACCCCAGTAAGTTTAGAATCCCCATGAATGCTTGCATTTACAGCCTTCTGTGGCAAGGAGGTCCCTTGATGAGGGAAGGATCATCATCCATTTCACACTGCTTGTCTGCCTGAAGTAGTAGTTCTAGGGG